CATTAATTTAGATTCCTTAAGTTTTACTGTCTTTTATTTTACTAATCAATATTAACTTTTATAGCTTATTTCCCTTTCAGTCAAATAACTTACTTCCAAGTCCTGGCCTAATTTCTTTTAAGCATGATTGGGTATGTAACATTTATATATTGGTTAGATAATTCAGGACAATTAAAAATTAATATCTGAAAAAGCTCTGCAACCAACATACACAAATAACTCCTATAACTCAATAATAGAACACAATTTGAACATACTTCAAAAGGGAATATATACAACTAGCAAATAAACAAGTGAAGAAATGCTAAACACAATCAGGGAAATGCAAATTAAAACCATAACAAGATATCACTTACTACACACCCACCAGAACTGCTAAAACCAAAAAAAACTGACACCACCAAATCTTGACCAGGATGAAAAGTGGAACTCTCATACATTGCTGGTGGGAGTGTAAACTGGCACAACCACTTTAGAAGAATATTCTTCAGTTCCTTACAAAACTAAATATACACCTAACATAAAGACCAAGCAGTTACATTCCAAGAGGAATGAAAACAATTGCTAATAAAGACTTGTACAAAAAGGTTCAGTTTTATTCATATCTAAAAACTGGAAATGTCCCAGGTGTCCATCAACAGAATGGACAAACAATGGCATATCTTTACAATGAATGCTGCTCAGTAATAAAAGGGAAATACTGACACAACATTGATGGAATTCCAAATACGTTATGCTGAAAGAAGCCTTATACAAATGAACACATACTCTGATTCATTTACATACACTGTGAAAAATAGAATCTAATCTATGATGGGGGAAATATCAGAACAGTGGTTGAATAGGGGTGGGGATCACGGAAGCAGGGATTGAGAAGGAGCATGGCAGAATTTTCTTGAGTCATGAAAATGTTACCTTGATAAGAGCTTGGGTTCACAGATGTGTCATTTGTCAAAATTCACTGCATCAAACACCTATTCATGCATTGCACTGCATGGAAACTTTACAAGAGCAAAAAAAAAAACACCTTTTAACACTGCCTTCTAGTTAACAAGATGCATGCTGAAATATTTAAGGGTGAACTGTACTTAAGTTTGCAATTTTCTTTGTAATGCATCAAAAATAAGGATTTATAAGGCAGGTATAGTAAATGTTAATTGTAGAATCTAGGTGGTCGATATACAGATGCTCATTGCACAATTATTACAACTTCCTATTATGTTTACATTTTTTCAAAATAAAACACTGGAAAATAAGCAGTGAGCAAAGGAAAAGAACTAGGTTAACAAAAGCCAAATCTACATTATGCTTCAAAACAACTAGGAGGAAAACTTTCTGGGTAGCTGAAACTACTTCAGCAGAGCTAAAGGAATGAAAGAAAATTGAAACAAAGTTCAACTGCAGAAGCAAGCAAAACATCTGAATATAAAATGGTGGAGTTCTTTTTGGTAGGGCTATACATGTGATAGAACATTTTATTTCTATTGTGGTAGGAACAATTACCATGAGAGCTACCCTCTTAACAGATTTTGAAGTGTAATACAGTATTGTTATCTATAGACACAAAGTCGTACAGCAGATCTCTAGAACTTATTCATCTTACATAACTGAAATTTATCAGGATAAAAATCGTCACTTTGATCAGGCTAATATACCAACAAAGAAACAAAACATTAGTTTTTTTGTTTATTAAAGTATCACTGACATACAATCTTACGTTAGTTTCAAATACACAACACAGTGGTTCAACATTTACCCATGTTATCAAGTCCTCATCCCCCTCTAGTGCAATCGCTATTGGTCAACACTGGAAGACATTACAGAATCATTAATTGTATTCTCCATGCTGTAGTACTGTTCCTGTGACCAACCTATATTATGATTGTGAACCATTGTGCCCCTTGGTCCCCTTCCTCCAGCCACACCCCCATGCTCCCCAACCCCTTCCCCCTTTGGTAACCATTAGTCCCTTCTTGGTGTCAATGAGCCTACTGGTATTTTGTTTCTTCTGTTTTGCTTTGTTGTTATACTCCACAAGTAAGTGAAATCCTGTGGTATTTGTCTTCCTCTACCTGGCTTATTTAACTGAGCATAATACCCTCTATATTCATCCATGGTGTTGCAAAACACATTAGTTTTTTTTTTAAGTCTAAAACTTTACTACCCTATTACTAGGACAGAAATTTTTCTATAATTCTGTAAACAATGTGAAAAGCTTGTATTACAGAGTTTGAAAAAGCCAAAAGGTCTCCAAGAAAAGATCTGCCTGTTGATTGGGTACAAGGACTGACCACTCACTTAACACCAATAAATCAATATTGTTAATCAGTAATATCTGGCTAAAATAGATCTTAACATTTTTATTGACTGGCCTGAATTCATAAGAATTTATTCAGTTTAATATTGTTGAAATCACTCCATTTTCACAAAAGGTTTAGTCAGTGGCAAGAGCCACCTACCAGGAAAGAGTTAAAATAAATAAAAAACAAAAAGCTGTTCAACAGTAAAGGATTTCTTGGTTTCCAAGCTCTAAACTCTAGTCTGGCAACATTAGAAGAAAAGTGAACTCAGAGTGGTGGTGATTAGAAAACACAATGAAGCAGTAAGCCTAAAATGGTTTGCTCACTTCAAATAGTTTTAACTACAAATAAATGTCATGGATTTAAAAAATTTAATTTCTACATGTATCTAGTGAATATTCTTGAGAATTACAGAATTTACCAATAGCTGCCTACAGTATAGGGTTGCCTTAACCCCCAAGATATATTAACAAGGTACTTACCTATAGACATTCCATGTCACCCTCTCTAAAATCTTATGCTTAATTTTTTTAGTATTCAAACCACCTGATGATGTACCTGGCCTGTTGCTGGGCTGCTGCTTCCACACCTTTAGGCAGTAAGCTATAATTGCGTTATATAGAGAGCTTGGCCCAGTGCTCTGGGCGGAGGCAGAGACGCTAGTGCTTGACCTACCGACGGAGAACAAACCAGGTTATAAACCCTTTCACCCCACAGAACGTTTTGTGGTCAATTTCTTTGGTCACACTGAATCCACAGCGAACTTGCCCGGGGCTGAAACCCACTGGCAAGACAACAGGTTACCTCCATCTTCCCTATCCCCAAAACAATAAAAGGATCAGTCTATACTCCTTGACTATTTCTCTGAGAAGACTGTAATACATAAACAAGTGTAGACTATATTTGTATGATTTAAACAGACCATAAATATTGGGGACTTCAACACGGGTGACAGTAACAATTAAGCTGATCTAGTAGACACCACTGATCCCTGGTTTTTAATTTAACAAGCATCTCATCAAATTGCATTATAGTAACAGACCACAGAAACCTACAAGTTTAAAAATAAAAACAAACCAAGTGGAAGCCTAAGACAAGTGTGCCTGTCTTAAAACCAGTTTCCAGGCCCACGTTCTCAAGACAAGACTACAACCCTCTAAAACACCCCTTAGAAGCTAATTTAGTGAATCACTGACAGTTGAAGGTACAGGACAATTCACTTGTTGAAAATCATGTGTATTTCAGAAACATTAGCATAGAAAAATGTTAGAGAGAGACTGCTCCATGTTTGAAGCTTGACTAAAGTAAATCTTCCCTTAAAACATAAAACAATTTGTACCTGTATAAAACAGGAGATTAGCAGAGAAGCTAAAACACTAATAGACAAATTGTCATGAAGCAAGTACACTCACTGCCTTCCATCTTTCTTTACTAAAGTTGTCACATACTGGTACAACAAGGATTCAAGATCAAGGATGCAAAAACAAAACACAAGCAGTTCCGTGTCTCATGAAGCACAAGCCTTAACTAGGTCACTGATTTGGAACTCATTAATATCATTCATCTCGAGAACAGCACATTGAAGATATGACACCTTTTTTGAAATTGATTCCAGTCCAGTTCTTTCAGCTGTTATAGCACCTCAACTCCCAAAGCCTCAAATATTTTTTGCCTGGGGTATAACTCAAGGTTGGAAAGGACAAGCATTAATGATCTTAATATAAAGACTTTATTAAGACAATATAAATAACTTTTGTGGCAACCAAAGAATACACTTTAAATAGATGTCTGTCAGGTGAGAAACTGCAAAGCATTCATGCTCAATTAGTCCTCAGAGAATTGACTCAGAAGAATCTGTGGTCTTTAGGTAGATGAAAGGGAGAAGGCAGAAAGACTGATGAAATACATCTCACAAAGTCAGAGACAAGGCAGGCCTGGAGAGATACAAGTCTAAAAACAAAAACTGAAAGATATAACAACAGCTGGAAGTACAGTACAATGAAAAAGTAAGTCTAGATCAAAGTTCAAGAATGAAGTAAACAGACGTAGAAAAATGCAACCTAAAAAGAAACATTCTCAAGGGAAAACAACAAGATATCATAGTACAAGCATTGCAGTATCTTACGATTGAATAACATTTCAACTGGTCCCATCAATTCTTGCCATAAATTTGTTGTTTTGCAACCAAAGTACAAGTGGAAGAAAACATACTGGAACAATCAAATGTCTATTATCTTTGCTGCCAGGAAAAACTGAAAAGAAAATCACACTAATTTTAGCAATTTTAAATGCTAATTTTATTCACTGCTAACTGCAAAGAACACCAATTCAGTAGTGTGCCGTAAAACACTTACACAAATCCAGAATTAAACAGAGCATATGGGATAAATCTAAAGCACAGCACCATGTGCCTTTGAAATGGTTATCACAGAACACAACTCAGTTCAGACAATTAAGAAATAATTCAATACTGCTAGTTACCCAGAAGCAAAATGCTCTTGGTTTCATAAAAAAGCAGTTGTTGCACTTTTCATGGTTTAATATGGTATGTAATATCTGAACCAAGGATATAGTTCATGTGATTTATTCTTCTTGTCAGTTGGTACCATCAGCTAATACAAAGTTGACAAGCCTGCTGATAGGAAAACAGTTGAATACAATGAAGTATGCTCAGTATGTGGCTCAATTTCCTTAACACACCCAGAGTAATACTCCTTTATTTTAAAGTACTATTTTAAACCAGAAGATAAAACAATTTTAAAGACAAATATAATAGTAACCACTCTCACCACCTAATTCAAACACTAACATAAAACAATTTTTAAAAACCAGAACAGCAAGAAAAATGGCAGTGTTAAGAATGCTTCATACTGCTGAATCTTACATATTCTGAGGTACATGATGAGAAGCTAATGGAGATGAAGCAATATAGCCATCTGGCCCAGGTCTCATAGTACCATGAATATGACAAGAACCACCACATGCTGCACCAACTGGATGCCAAGGGACACAAGGCAAAACAGGGAGGCAGGATTCAAAACCAAGCAAAGACGGCTTCCCAAAGGGATCTGACATCACTGGATATCACTGACTGCTCCATGAGGCACAGATGCAGGGTCAGCATTTGGAAAAGTATCTGAAATAAAGAATGTGAACAGTATGCTTTATATACAAAGATACACAAAACACCAACATAAATGGATGATCTTACAGGTAAAAATAAAATTTATCACTAACTATAGGAAAGATCACAACAATTATGGTGGGAGCACTTCAGATATCAACGTTGGTAATTTAGGACAGGTTATCAGAAGATTGTATGAAAATTTCCTTAAAAAATGTGTGTTGTGTGTATATAATGTGTCAAATATATTCTACCTAGAGACAACTATCTCTCTGGGATCATTTAAGTACCAAAACAGACTAGATGCTACATTCTCTAGAGTCCTTCTAGTCAATTAAATTATTTTAAGAGTCAGTTGCAATTAAGTGATTCAACAGCTTTCAGTTTAACACATATCATCCAAATGACTATTCTGTATTTCTTAAGCAATTAAAACTTCAGGTGTCTTAAAGTAGTGACTCTGTGGCATCTTACTTCACTAATGGACAGTGACTGCAATGGGGTATAGGGGGGACTTGATAAAATGGGTGAATGTAGTAACCACATTGTTTTTCACATGAAACCTTCATAAGAGTATATATTAATGATACCTTAATAAAAAAAACTTGGGTGTCTATACCATGTAGCCTATACTTTAAGGTACAGGTCTAAAGAGCATCCTAAAAGACCAACAATTTAAGTGTCATGTCTTGAATGTCATAAAGATATTAGCATAATTTTAGTTTTACAGCACTTTAGCTACCTTAAGTCAGTTTTAGTGGACACAGATGCTGTTCTGACCCTGCTATAGTGACTATATAAGTAGTAAACAAAAAGGAGTCCTTCATTACTTGGGATAACATAGATTAGCTCATTCTGTGAAATTAAGACTTCCAGGGTCTCATGGTTTACTACAATTGAAAATTTATAAATGGTACATGGTACAAAAATACATGAAAGGTTGAAACTTTTTAATTTTTATTACCACAGGGCACATCACACCACCAGACTAGGAATAAGATTCCATAAGGCTAAAGTTCCAAAACCATTAGTATGTTTTAAAATAAAAAGGGAAGGAAGGATATTCATATTCCTCACATGACCCCGACACAGTATACTTATGCGTTTGGTATATACAGTGTATCTATCTCATTTAGTTCTTAGAATAATCCTGGCAAATCAAGTATTTCCCATTTTACAGATAATTAGGGAGGTTAAGTAACTCAGCCAAGATCGCAACCATCAAGCGAGCAGTGCTGGATGGGAAACAGATTTGGTTAGGTTAGTCTACATCCTTTATTCCACCTTCTGCTGACTCTTTCCAAGGGCAGTCCAAAGATCCTGTTGTAAGTCCTTCAAAATGCCTCCTCAACATTATACTGTGAACTCATAGACAGAGCAACCATCTTTATGGTGTGGTACAACAGTCTGAGGATTCCTTTATGTATTTAAAAATTGAGGATCTGAAATAGCTTTTGCTTATGTGGGTTATAACTACCAATATTTACTGTATTAGGATATAAACTAAGAAAGTTAAGAATATTTAATTCATTTAAAAATAAGCCCACTATTGGTAACACAAAATTTTTACAGAAAAATATTTTCCAAAACAAAAATTGAGACAAGTGGCATTGTTTTACACTTGTGCAAATCTCTGATGATGGCTGAATATAGACAGCTGGGTTCTCTTATCTGCTTCTGCATTTAATCTATCATGATAATGTTGTTTTGGTTGGAGTATATGAAGAAAATCTGGCCTCATACAGATTTGTAGTTGGAAAGAAGGGAAGTCTTTCAAATAACTAGCCTTTCCAGATAATTGTAGGTAACTTCTGACACTACACCCAAACTAGGTAAGTGGTAGTTTCTTAAAGGTGGGTAGCAATGTGGACTTTTTGTACTCTGTCAGTATTAAAATACAGTTTTATCTTGTACTTTTGATAGATGTTACAAAATCATGCACAGGTGACATTATACATTGGTAAAAGAGAAAATATTATTTCACTGAGATAATACAGAGCTCCCAAATGTTGACACACTTCAATATACAGTGTAAAAAAACTACATTCATTAATAGACCCATCTATCTTATTATGAGAGTTAAGTACTAGGAAGCTGTCAAACTCATAGTGGCAGACAAGTTTTCAAAAATTTTAGTTTTTATTCAAAAACTGTGTAATTGTTACCTTGGACAACAAATACTACCAGTAGTTTTACTTGAAATGACAGGCTCACATTGTTCATTTGAGAAAATGTCTGCCAGATCCCCAAGTCTGAATAACCATAGTCAGTCCATCATTTTTTCAAGTCAAAATAGTGTTCTATGAAAAAAGCTAGTTCAGCTCAGAACTCAGCCTCACAAATCCTTTTAAGGTAGTCATCAATATGCCGAGTGCTTATTACTACTTACCATTTTGTTACACAGAATAAGTACAATTAATCAATGATAAAGATTTAATAGAAATAAGAGTATCTTTGATGAAACAAAAAATAAAACTGGCATTTTTTTGTACTATGGGTGTGGGAATGGACAAGATACTGATTACTAGCACACAGTTTCATTGCTCCTGCCTTAGTTTGGGGCTTAGGCACCAGCAGTTTTACCCACCACTGATTTTTGCACCCTCAGTGCAAATATAACACAGTGAAAGAGACAATTAAAATCTGTGTATGATGATGAATACTTTGGGCCTCATGGATCCCTTAAAAGGATCTCACAGACCCTAAAGGACACACATAGCATGCTTTGAGAAACACTGCTCTAGTATATAGACCTAATGAAATACCTGAAGACTATTATTTACAATAAAATCTAATTGTCTTTCTTGCAGGCAATCTTACTATATACTCACCACTTGCTGATGCTTCTGCCTGTGTGCCATCTTGACTCTCCACCTCACTGTACAACTGAGAACTGGTTTGGTCTGCCAGAGAAGGTGTCTCAGTATAGCCTGGGTAATTCTGTACATGAAGCTGCTGCTGCTGGTGCATATATGGCACATAGACCAAGGAGCACCAGTAGTTGTGGTGATAGCACTTTTAGATAAGAGAGGGAAAACACATGCTTACTGTTATCTCTTGGTAAAATAGTATGGCTACTCACTTAAAAAAAGGTTGGGCCATTATTTTTAGGTGGGGTAGCAATGACTTTTTGACCTAAAAGACATGACATTTATTAAATCTGTTCTCTATTATAACTTTTAGGATATTTTCCAGCATCCCAATCTCATAGTTGGCCCTAGAAATTCTTTTAAGAAAGCATCCTAACTAGAAATACACACAATGACCTGTATACAAAGATGTCTTTTATAGCATCATTTTTAAAAGCAAAAAAACAACAAACAACACAACTCTTTGACAACAGGAAACACAATGATGAATTCAAATAGACGCAATATTAAAATGCTGTAATAGAAAAAAAGTGCTCACATTGTTAACTTAAAAATTTATAAGATTATATAGCAGCGCATATTTTGTAAAGTAAGTATATAAGCTGTAAGGAAACATCAGTGTACAGAAGTTATAATTTGGCTGTTTTAGCATTTTTGAGATTTATGACAATGAATGCTATTACCTTTAATATGAAAAATCTTTAAAATATCTATTCTGCATTTATTTGCATACCGATTATGTGAAATGCAGAATATTTTAAATGCCACACCGTGTGGAATGAGTTACATTTCCATATGTGACTATAATAAACTAACATAACTGAAGGGGAAAATAGTTTATTTTTCAATTCTTGAAACTACATTTAAGAAATATAGTCTTGAAGAACAAAACACCCTCTACTACTCAATTTAAAAATGTGTGACAGTTGGAGAATATAGTTTTCTGGAAATGGTATGTCCAAGGTTTTAGAGGAATCCATGTTTGGGAATACAAACTATTCTGAACATTATCCAGGAGACTGGATCATTCACCAGACCTTAAGATGTATTATTCCTTTTCAGGAAATATGCCATCTTGTTGTATCAGAAGTCAAATATATTTCAGGGAGAAAATGATGGCTGAAATGATAAAAGAGGTATCTCCTGAAATCAGAAACACCTGTCAGTGACATTAACGTATCTGTCAGGAACCCCCCTTAAACAATTCAGGGCAGTGAAATCAGTGTTTGACATTACCTATGTACATGAACACTTTAAAAATAACAGAGCTCCTTAAATGTCTTTGAATTAGACTGATTACTTTTCCACTGAAATGCAGAAATGGTCATAAAAATGTTTTAAGTATGGATAAATAATCCATTTATTATTTTGAGACAGAACAACATAATGAAGGATTGGCATATATTAAATGTGGAGGCCAATATATGCCAAAGCTGGGGTGCTTAGAGCCCCTACTCACCATAACTTAACAACTATTTTTAAGAGAAACTGAAGCACTATGAGGCTAAAGTAGAAAACTGACCTGTATACATTATTCAGAGATACATTATTAAAGACAGGAATAAAACTTTTAGGCCCCTGGCAGTATTCTTGGCTATTAAAGTTCAAGAGTCTGATTATCAAAACAGCTTCATTTTTAATATTGACTTTATCAAAGCAATTTTAACATGACTCTTACCTGCAATCCCAGATTGAAATAGTACTGCAGAACTCTCATATCTAAAATGAAAAATTTTAATTTTAGTGATTACATGACATAAGCAATTAGAACACTTAGAAGCTTTCCTTTGAGTATTAAGGTAGATACATACCTTATCACCACATTAACATCACCCTCAATTCTCCCTTAGTAAATGTAAATGACCACTTACCTATCACTATAGAGACCATTTTCTGATCCAAAGTTTAATTTACCAAATACGTATTTTATTTCTATTCTTAATATTAGGCAGACATTACAGGAATGCCACTTTGGCTAGTATTTAGAAAAAATCCAGTAGAGGTTATTTTCTTGCTTGTCTCAAGATAAAATTTTACTTTAATACAAATCTACTACATAAGCAATCATATTGGTCCTCTATTAGTGGAGCTCCACACTGTACAAATGAATGCTCTACCAATGCTAAGATTAGTGATGCCTATTGAGACAAGTGTATGAAACAATTCATGCTGCTTTTATTTAACATGACCAATTTACAACCCCTAGAACTCCAAAAAGAGGAGGCAATTAAGAAGGTAACTCAAAAGAAGTTATACCCTAAGGTGATAAAATTTTTCCAGACACAGAACCTAAAATATTTCACAAGTGAACAAAAACTAGATGTATGGTAGGAGGGGAAACAGTCATAGCATTCCCATTCTCTCTCTGTATTTATCTTCACTGACTGACCTGGGATACATACACATTCTCATAAATAAGGTAACATCTTCCAATAACAAATGAACTCTCAGAAAACAACTTTCTTAAGATGAAAACTCTAAGTAAAATCATACACAACACCACTTTGAAGAATCAGCTTGTATTTTGACTATTTTGTGGGAGTATAGTATAAAGCCTAATGCTCTAGCTAAAAAATATGAAAAGATAATAGCAGGAAATTCACAAATGGCATGAAATTCTACTCCTCAGCATATATATATATATAATCACCCAGAACTTGTATACAAATATCCTCAGCAGCAACAAAATAAAAAATGAACAAGCGGGACTACATCAAACTAAAAAGCTTCTGTATGGCAAAGGACACTATCAGAAGAACAAAAGGGCATTCTACAGCATGGGAGAATATATTTGTAAATGATTTATCTGACAAGGGGTTAACATCCAAAATATATGAAGAGCTAGCATGCCTCAACACCCAAATAATAAATATCCCGATTAAAAAATAGGCAGAGGATCTGAATAGACACTTCTCCAAAGATGAAGTTCAGATGGCCAACAGGCACACAAAAAGGTGACCCACACAGGTAATTATCACGGCAATGCAAATTAAAACCACAATGAGGTATCACCTCACCAGTTAGGATAGCCAACATCCAAAAGACAAGAAACAACAAACGCTGGTGAGGATGAGGAGAAAGGGGAGTCCTCCTACACTGCTGGTGGGAACATAAACTAGTTCAACCATTGTGGGAAGCAATATGGAGGGTTCCTCAAAACACTAAAAATAGAAATACCACTGAACCCAGTAATTCCACCCCAGGAATTTACCCGAAGAAAACAAGATCCCTGCTTCAAAAAGACATATGCATCCCTATGTTTATCGCAGCACTATTTACAATAGCCAAGATATGGAAACAAGCTAAGTGTCCATCAGTAGATGAATGGATAAAGAAGATGTGGCATATACACAACGGAACATCTTTCAGCCATAAGGAGAAAAGGAATCCTACCATTTGCAACAACATGGATGGAGCTGTAGAGTATTATGCTCAGTGAAATAAGCCAAGCAGAGAAAGACAAGGACCAAATGATCTCCCTCATTTGTGGAATCTACTAACAACAAAGCAAAACTGAAGGAACAAAACAGCAGCAGACTCACAGACTCTCATAAAGGACTAGGGGTTACCAAAAGGGAGGGGTTGTGGAGAGTGGGTGGACAGGGAGAAGGGAATTAAGGGGCACTATAATTCACAGTCACAGTATAGGTAGGTCATGGGGAAGGCAATACTGCATGGAAAAGACAAGCAATGACTCTACAGCATCTTACTACACTGACAGACAGTGACTGTAATGGTGGGGGTTGGTGTGGACTTGATAATACAGGTGAATGTTGAAACCACAATGTTGTTCATGTGGAACCTTCATAAGATGGTATAACTATGATTCTTCAAAAAAATATCATGAGCAGTATTATTCACAATAGCAAAAAAGTGGAAACCCAAATGTCAATAAACCAATAGATAAAAATGCAGCATATCCACACAATGGATTATTCAACCACAGAAAAGAATGAAGAATGGATACATGCTACAATCATGGATGACCTTTGAAAACACTATACTAAGTCAAAAAAGCCAACCTCAAGAGACCCCATATTGTATGATTCTACTTATATGAGATGTCCAAAATAGGCAAATCTATGGAGACAGAAAGTAGAATAGTGGCTGCCAGGGATGAGAATGAGGAGTGACTAATAATGTGGATAGGGTTTCTTTTTGGGGTGATAAAAACATTCTGGAATTAGTGATAGTTGCACATATTTGTGAACGTGTTAAAGACCACTGAGTTGTAAACTTTAACTGGGAGACGTATATGGTATGTGAATTATAGCTCAAGCTGTTAAAAAAAGTGGCACAGTAAGGACTATGAATATTCAAAAAAATCATTTTGAAATGCAATGGGGGATTATCATGAAAATGACCTAGTGGAGAGAATTTCAGTGGAATCACCATCTCAGAAGCAGAAAACCAGGTGAACAGAGTTCTTGTAAAGTAGGTGCTAACGTTCAAGTTTGGGGAAAAAAGAAAGTAGGAGGAGATAAGGTTCCACTATTTTACACAAAACTAAACAAACACCTATCTATGCCCCATCAATTCCACTCCTAGGTATTGACCCAAAGGAAATGAAAACATGCTCGCAAAGACTTTTATGAGAATGTTCATGGAAGGTTTATTCATAAAAGCCCCAAACTGGAAATAGCCCAGATGTCCATTAATAGAATGGACAACCTGTGGAATATCCATACAATTAAATTATACTGGTAAGCAATGGTCAACCACTGGTACATATGCAGCAACATGGAAAAACCTTAAAAGCATAATGCTGAGTTTAAGAAGCCTTCCACAAAGGGCACATACTGTATGATTATATTTACATGAAGTTCTAAAACAGGTAAAACTGGCAGAAAAAAAAGAACGGTGACTGCCTCTTAAATGAAGTGGAGCTAGGGGTGGGGAATGACTAGAAAGGGGCATGAGGGAACTTTGTAGGATAATGGTAGTATTTTCTATCTTGACCAGGATTTAGGTTACAGAGGTGCAAGTATCTATTTGTCAAAACTCAGCAAGTGTACATTTAAGATCTGTGCATTTCATTATATGTAAACTTTACATCAGAAGAAAAAATAAATATCAAACTCTAGTTAAAGATATGTATGCTTAAGTTTTTATGCAATAGCACATTGAAGTCTACAATTTACTTTGAAATGCACCAAAAATAAGACGGATTGAAGGGAAAGATGGATACATGAAGTAGAGTTAAATGTTAATGATAAAATCTTGGTAGTGGATATATCAATGTTTATTTTAAAATTCAACTTTCATGTATGTTTGAACATTTTCATAAAATGCTGGAATATGTATAATTAGCATTATGTGCCAACTGAGTAGATCCTGGGCAGGGGTAGGTAAGTGAAAGGAAGGAGTAAGGGTTTAGATACTGGGTAAATTGGTGGAAATGACACATTATTAACAAAACAGGAAACCAAGAAGAGTCAACGTTTTACATGGCCTGGAGAGAAGAAAAAAGGGAGATAACAATGAATTTCATTATAGACAGACTGAGTTTGAAAGTAAGAAAGCCAAATGTAGCAAGGGGCTAGACACAAGTACCTGAAAATTCAGAGGGCAGGGCTAGACAGATTTAGGAACCATCTATAAAAAGGTGATAATGAAGTTTTAAGGTAAAGAAAAAGAAAAGAATGGAGCTGAAGATGATCTTGGTAACAACCATAGGGGCTAGGAAGAAAAAAACAGAACAGAGAAGCAGCTAAAAAAATCAAGATAACGTTACAGTAAGGAAAGTATAAATAAGCTACAATTTTCAACTACAATTCTCTTTTGAGAAACACTGCCAAACAGAGGTGTAAAAGAATTTCCTATGGGAAACTGCTCTTTACTTTGATGGAGGAAACAACACATGGCTGAAATCAAGACAAATCAGACCCCCAATTCCTCCAAACAAAAACATTCTCCAAATCTTTTAAATTAAGTTGGAATCCTAAATCCTAAAGAATACAACAATTTCATACACTTATGGTAGGAACTTAAGAAATGAAGAAAATTTGTTATCGACTCCTGCTTTTCAAGAAAAACAGTTGAGAAATCAAAGATACTCAGTTGAGAATCTTCTTCAGGGACAAACATCTCAGACCTGAATAACCCTCACCCAAGTCTCAAAATCTACTTACCTTGAGGCAGATCATTGCCACTTGGATCACAGGAATAAGGTGGAGGTGGAGGTGGTAAATCTGAAGCCTCTCCCACCTCAAGAGGATAAAGAGAATAGGAAGGAGAAGAAGAAGAAGGAGGAGAAGGAGGAAGAGGAGGAGAAACAGGTGGTGGTGGTAGATAGGCAGCAGGAATAGGAGCAGAGAGGTATGGGCAGGATGGTGAGGTGATCACTAAAAAAGAAACAAAAAGTAGCAATGCACAACTTACAAGCAATAGCTCACTGTCTACTACTCTTCCACCCCCAATATGGTCAAACAACTCTAATTCTTATGTTTTGACTTAAAATCAAAAACTTGGAAGGTAAGTTGCCCATATTCTCTTAGACAAGCCAGTTAAAAACTAGGATTTATTACAGATTAGTTTTAGTTATGTAAATTACTTGAAATTAAGAGGAAAAAAAACTGAAACCAAAGAACTTTTACTACCAAAGACTTTAAACATTAGCTAACAGGTACATAAATAAAATACCATTAAAGCAAAATTTTTACTTAGCTTTATATAAAATTAAGGATGTTTTCAGACATCTGCCACTCTTAGATCATTAAGAAGCTAGCTAGTAAGAGAGACTAAATTGCACAGATTACAGATAAAGTAATCCTTGAAGGTTTCTAGTTGTAGCACTGGAGTAACATAAGGAACTCTAAATCATGATATTTCCATTTCTAAGCATGTACAGAATCTAAAACAGGCTAGCTGAAATACCTTATCCCTTTAACTTTCTACACCTTTTACTACATTTTAAGAACAATATTCATATAGGAGTCAGTTTTTGACAATTAAAATACAAATATGTTCAAATATGAATACATTTCTCTATGATGATAAAGGAAATAATTCAGTTCCAACCTAGTAAAAATATCCCTATATATACATAGTATGCCAGAAAATGTGTTACATTTTTGACAAAAGGGGAGTGACAGAACCTTTCAAGTTTAACTGAATCATTTTAGCTGACTTAGAAAGTCAAGTACTAAATTTTATCATTGTTACCTGCACTTTAATTTTAATCCTGTAAAGTATAGAAAATTTAGTCTTGTTCCTCAATAAAGGTTTAAATTCAGTTTTAGAACACTTAGTTCAACTAACAGTCCACACAAGCTGTATTTGTTATCCTAGTAATATAATGAGGAATAAGGCCAAGTATTAGAAGTAAACCACACTGTTTTCATTCACTGACATAAATATTAATAACACACTTATCTATACTCTTTATACGGTTACAGGCTAATAGTAATAGGAAATCTGTGTCTTAGGGCAATATAAAACTTGATGAACAGCTCTTTAGGGGTGATGAAACCTCTTTTTTGGTTGTGGTGTTATACAACTCTATGCACTGTCAAAACTTAACTGGGCACCAAAAGACAAATTTTATTGTTTCTAAGTTAAACTTTAAAAACTTGCTCCTGTCTTGGAGTTTTGTTTTGCATAAAGAAATATCCACTTGTACAGTTTTAGAAAAGGAATCTAATTTTTAGAACATCTCCAAATGCTTTGAAGACCTCATGGATTTGTTTACTCTTATTCCTCTTAAACTAGCACTCAAATCACACCATTTTAAAAAAGCAAACGGAGTAAATTCACTCAGCTGAAGACAGAATGTGGTGATGATCACTAAATAAAAACCAAGTATTAGACACAGAGGTAGCTAAGTAAGTTCTCATGGGCTTGAGAGGATCAAGGGCAGAAGAGATACGGAGGTTAACTTTATCTGAACTCACCTTACTTGTAAATACATAATGTAATAAACCCCCTAAGAAAAAGCTTTTATAATTTCTAGCTACTCTCTAGAGATACATGAGAATTCTCATTCACAGTTTTAATAGGGCTCTATAGGCTTAAAGGGTATATAATTCAAGAGGTAACTCCAGGACAAGGGAACTTTTCTAAAGTATTAATGGAAACCAATGTAATGTACTAAAAATGCTTTCCCCCTTGTCTCTGTAGGTGCAGTCTGCTTCAGGACATTTCTGGGGAGAATATGAATATGCATAGTAAGATTCGGCTTCTTACAGATCAGGCCTGGACCTAGGTGTAGCGAGGTGCAAAACTGAAGGGGCCACCAAGTTAACACTCAAAATAACCCATGGTAAGTAAAATATAAAAATTCTAAATTAAGACAGGATCCAAGCCTGCACCTGCATGAACCCCAAGAATGAATGTCTCATTCAACTCACCCTAAGCCTGACACACAGATTTTATATTTAAAGTTTCAATACTTTATCATGGATATGTTCTGCATTAACCTTTATTTTTTAAATACTGCATTAAAGTACTATCTTGATTATTGTGGGTTTTTGGCACTTCCTTAAATCTTGCATCCAAGGCAAATGAGTCACTAGTCGCAGCTCTGACAAGCACCTTCGAAGTTACCACAACTCAGTTGACAGGATTTAATGCTTATGAGGAGACTAATGTTAAAAGGCAATCATAGCATCTAGTAGGTAAGAAGTGGCTTAAAACAGGATGGAATGGGGTGCCAGAGAAACACATAACACAATGCGAAATATGATTTGTTTCATCTAGAGGACTGACGGGAATGATAAAGAATAACTAAAAAGCAGCCATGAACTAGTAGACTTACAATTGAGGTTCCTAAGTGACACAAAAAACAAAAAGTAAAATAAATGAAGGCAGTATAAATTTTTAGAAATATCTACATAGAACACAATTTGGCATTTAAAGAGTAAGCGTTCCATGACTGTAAGTGAGGCATTACAATGTTTAATTCAGCTGTTACTTCATTTTTTTTTTCTTTCAAGCTCATGCATCTGCTAAAAACAGAGCGGGTTTTCCTTACAATTAGCACAAAGTAGTAAATCAGGGTCTACTTTAACATCTGCAGTGAAAATTTTCTATGGTAATTAACATATACTGCATGGTTCTGTTCTAGGCACTGTGCTAAACAGTTAATTTTTAAGTTATACATAAAGAAAACACATCAAATGAATTATTTTAAAGTGGACACTATGAAGATCAAGTAAAACTTTGCCAGCCATTCAAGAAAAATTCCATGTGCCCCAGCTCAATCATAACCCTCCCTTTCCCACCATAATTAACTGTTATCCTTTCATAATATCATTTCCTTATGGTCTTAGGGGTTTTGTTATTCAAATATGTATCCCTAGATAGTTTTTTTAAGTCCACGTCTTGAATCTCTTTTAAGTCTGTTGGTCCATACTCCACCTCTGTCATTTCCTTTCAGTTTTTTTTTTGAAGAATCTGGGCCCTTGGACCTGTTAAATTTCCCAGTCTGGATTTTGCTGATCACATACCCTTGGTGCATTTCAACATGTTCTTCCACATTTCCTGCAATTGGGCAGTTGGATCCAGGAGGCTGGATCAGACTCAGGATTAATTCCCTTGGTGCTTCTGTAAGTAATACGTGACTGCCTCTGCAATCTCAGCAGCTATTTCTGCTTAATACCCATCCATTCAGTAAGGACTGCAAAATGATTATGTTCTGCCCCTTTTATTCAGTGATTATATATATATATATGCATGTATATTAGTATTCTAACTATACACACACACACACACACACAAAAACATTTGCCCTCAACTACTATTTGGTTACACATTGGTTCAGTTCATACAAGGCAAGCAGGATAAATGCTTCTTTCACTTAATTTTGCAGTGTTCAAGAAAATGAACTGGTTTCCTATCATCCTCTTAAGGTAACCAATTTAAAAACATTAAGAACTTTAAAATTTAACACATTTTATTTGTTCTAATCTACTGTAATTATCATTGCTGAGGCTTAAATTATTCCATTTTTGGCCAGTGGGAACCTGTTCAAGACAGCTCCTAAGTCGTTTTGACATGAGTCCAGTAACTCTTCCTAGCTATCTGCCATGACAGAATGATCCAGGCTCATCTTGAACATTTCTTGCAGCCATTTCTCCACAAAACCCCCACCTTTTTTCTAAGTGAGGAATAGTATTTCAAGACTACAGATTGAGTGCTAAGGTTATTCATCATTTCTAGGCCTTTTCTGTGGACAAAGCTACAAAAAATACACATATATTTAAAGATAAAATACCTTAAGTTTATATTGATACCTTCAAAGGACCACAGAAGCTTTTACTCAGCCTCTTTATCACATCTGTATTACCTTTCTTCCATATTGAGACTCCTGGTTTGCTAGGACACGAGGGGATAAAATTAGAATATTCCATACTCACTCTTGTTTTAGCCAACATTCAGTTCTGAAACAACAATCTGAGTGAATTTGATAGGATTCCTGAAAGCATTAAAAAATGCTTAGCACATGGTCTCTCAACTCTTTACCATTTTTAAAAATACCTATGCTGTATCTACAATGTCTAAGTATACGGCTGTTGCTATTAAACAGTAAATTCTCAACCTCTAACCTGTTTGTCTCAATTCTTCCAGTAATTATGTATTTAATACCATCAGATCTTATGCTGATGTTTCTAATTGTTTTAGTAGTCTTAAAGTCAAAGCTCATTCTCTAGTACACTGATGTCCATTCAATGCAACTCTCTGTGATGGCAGGAATAGCACTTCTGGGCTGTCCAATATACGTGCCTCTATCTCCATGTGACTCTGAGCAGTTGACATGTGGTTGGTGACTGAGCAACTGAAAGCTTATTCAACTATAATTAACTGAAATTTAAATTGTCACATGTGGCTAGTGATTACCCTGCTTGATGGCATGGCTTTAGTAGGTTCTTCAGGAAGGGCTCATGCAACGAACATTCTCTCAATTCTTGTATCTGCCTTTAGGCCTGATATTCAGTTTAATTAGATATAAAATCTTTGGTTTACATTCTTATTTATTATCTCAAATGTTCCTCCATTTTCTTCTGGCAGAAACTATCAAGTTTGATGAATTGCATTTCATTTTTTTTTATGTCCCATAGGCTCTTTCATCTAGATTACAAAAGGACTTTTTCTTTAAAGTCCAGACACTAGAATGTTCTGGTGTTGCTTGCTCCAGGTCAATATTCTCAGGTATGCAGAGTGCTATTTCAGTATACAGTTTTAAAGCTTTTTCAATTTCATAAAAGTTTTCTGAATTACAGGTGTTATCATTTGTTCTTTCTCCTTACTTTGGTTTTCCTCTTCAGGGAGGACTTCTACAGTGCTTAGTCTCTCTGCCTAACTTTAATACATCACTTGTGATTTTTTAAATCTTCCTTTTCTTCATTTTAGATTTCCCTTCTTTCTTACATCTTTCTCTTAAAGCATTATCTGTTGTATATTTTTTTGGTCATGTTTGTTATAGTTTTGCCTTCATTACTGAAATTACTTTCTTCCATTTCTAATGCTTTCCTGAGGTCTGCCACATACGAATTTTTCTAACTCATTTGCTATTTTTATACCATTTTATTAATGTCTTTAGCTCATTCTAAAATAGTTAATTAAGTAAGCATATTTCTGACATCCCTCATGCCTTTAAGGATATTATTCTTTCTTTACCCTCAAAATATCTTTGTACAGAATTTTATTTTGCACTTTTCTTCCATTCATTTTTAAGTGAAATTATTTTTCATGAACTTTAGAATGAGTACAGGAAAGCTTTTCTAACTTCATAGGACTTTATTTTCTTGTGCAGTATTAAAAACCATGAATGCTTTCTAGGATGCTTGACTCTGTTCTCAACTTTACTCAGGACCTGCTCTTTTTACTATACTGATCAATTTTGATTGCACTCTCAGCAGTTTCTCCTTGGCATGTCAGTTTTGAGTGTTCTTAGGGGCTAAATTGTTCCAAGCCCTTCAATTCCTTTACCATGTACCCAAAGCACTCACCCAGTATTGGAGAGGTCAAATCCCTTCCCAGTCTTAGCTGCTCCTTCCAAACTGGCTACCTCACTTTCCCATGAATTATTAGCTCTTTTGTAGTTCTTCTGTTCTCAGGTCCATCAGACAACAGCCCCAGTGCTTCTGTTTTCTTGCACCCACACAGACCTGATAGCATGCAAGTCTTGTGACTGGTGGTTTGTCCCGACCTGCTTAAATCTGGGGGGCTTCAGGGTGATGCCTTGGTCACCTAGTTTTGTTGTAAGTATTGTCCATGGTTTGGTTTTGCTATTTCCATTTTTATTTGGGGACTCAGATTGAAAACCTATGCTGTTGACATCACCTTTCCAGAATTCTGAGAACTTTCAATTAATTGACTCACTGGAATTCTACATTTGTAAGTTGTTACTATCAGTATCCCCAAATTCACAGATCAGAAAGGTTCAAAAACCTACCCAAAATTACATAGCTACTAAGTTGTTAAACCAAGATTCAAGCCTAGATTTCTTAAATTCTGGAACCCATAATTCTTTATTACAACATTCATGGGAAAATGATTCATTATATGGCAAGTATTTTATAGAAAACTTTTTAGGAATTATCTGTGAAGGGTGAAACATCTCTAATTCCTGTACAATAAAACTTGACTCAAAGTCTAAGAAACTTGTGAAGTCCTCTAAACTCTCAATGGAGTAGCAAAATAGCTACAAAATCATATCAAAGCCAAATCTGCAAGAAAAAAACTGAAACTCTGCCTCTTAAATATCATGGATTCCTCAACTATAGAACATACTTTATTAACTAGCTTAAATTTAATACTGGATATTAAAGTAATCCTATCGAATCAGTGGAATTGTTGTATGTGCATGTTCATGAATAGCAAAAGAGGTTTCCAAAGTAGCAACCACTGACAACCTACCTGGCCTGCCTTGTGTAGGTGGAGATACAAATAGAGGCTGCATAACATTCTCTGAGGGAACTGAAGTGGTATTTCCAGCTTGATTAGCTGCTGCACAGTTTGATAGGACTGAAGCTGGAACATTACTGGCACAGGAAGCTGCAACTGCTGCAGAATTTACCATCACCTGTAAGTGTGGAAGAAAGTTTAAAACTCTAAGTTCAATTTTTCAAACAATGTTGGTCTCTTACCTGAACCTAAATTTCATGAAATAGTATTCTGACAACTAAAACATCGAGAAGTCAATCTTTATGTAAACCCTGTATGGGAAGGAAGTTTTGGGAAGTTTTAGTAAATGACATAGACTTGACAGGTAATTTGTATTAGCTTACTCATTATACAAGAGATCCAGAGTAGAATATGAGTGTAGTCTAATGCCAGCACACAGAACAGTGTCTGGATCACAACAGATGCTCAATTTGTTGAATGAATTTACTACTCATTGTGCCAGGCACCACAAAGTACAATAATACTTAATATAGAAATATAAGCAGCTTCTTGAAAGTATGATGGAGGACAAAGTGAACAAGAGGAAAAAATTTGTTTTCCTCTGTTCAGACCATTGCAACTGCTTGATAACACAATGAAGATTACCTTCTGGGGGTAGTTGTATGAGGTAAATGTGTCCTGAGGAGACATAGAACATGGTCCTCTGTCCTGAAGAGACTTTAATGAATACAGAAATATAGTTACATAAATGGAAATCAAGAAACCAAACAACACATTAATAAAAAAATCTGCTGTGTTTCAACATCTCCTAAAATTAAGTGAATATGGTATACCCTCAAAGTATTAAAATTTGGAAGTGACTACTAAGGTAATATTCCAGAAGGTATCAATCTGCTGCCTGACTGAGGTGACTGCTCTATTTCTGATCTACAGAGATCCTGATCATATGCAACTCTAGTCCCAAAGTAGATACTAAAATAAAATGGAGGACTGTAATGTAAACACTTTCTTAGTGCCTTTCCTTGCCTTAAAAGCTTCAACATCAGTAGGAACAGCAACAGTTTTGCTAGAAGAAAGCATGCCATTTGAAGATGCAACTTAAGACAAAGGTAGGTATCTGGTTGTTCAGCCACATCCTATCCAAGAAGGATGTGGTATAGTGCAAACGCTGCTCCCCTCTGGTTCAAGACCTTGTCTTTGTCAAAGTAAAATGATTTAAAAATGATCTTATGCATGACAAATTGTCATGACAGAAAGAAAAACTAGCAGTGGAAATTGGTAATAATGATAATGCAGAGGGAATCAAGGGAAGTAATCACAGGAAACAAGAGGAATCACACTGTGACAAAGGTAAGCCTAACTTACATGGACATAAGATTGCATGTTTCTAAAGTCTGTTCAACTACAGACAAGGCACCAGCCGAAAAGCAATCTTTGGCCCTGGCTCTGAAGATCCAGTATCAATGTTTAACTCTAGGAAAATATTTAGTTGAGAACTGGGCATGGAAATAAGATGTAAGAATAAATGTTCATGGTTTTTCAGAAGTTCTGGGCCCAGAAATCTCTTAAGTCCTGCATTGGTCCTCTCCCCTCAGAATGCTGTGAAAAAATTACTTAGGAACTTGCTATGGATTTGGTGACTACAGCGTAGAAGTGGAGCACATTATGAAGAGATTGAAAGCCACTGGTGATGTATGATAAAGTAAATTCAGAACAAAAAAGAACATGTGGCAAGTGAAATTACGTGAACAGAAAGAAATGTCTACTCTTATTGTCCCTGATGTTAAGATTTTTACTTGTTTTTTTCACTTTTTTGTGCAAGTCGCTATTTTAAGTGAAAGGCTATTTTAAGAGACATGTGATATGAGACTACTAATGAAGGAGGGGGAAAAACCAATTTCTCTAGATGGGGCAAAAAAAGGAAAGGAGAAGTAAGGGGAAAAGACTTGCACATCATAGTTTTCACCTTCCTAAGATGGCCTAAACAGTAAAAACAAAAATCTTGTTCCTGAAGCTATCAAAGTTAAAACTAATCAGTTAGAGAACAGAGGGTAGTTATTCAAGTTATTCACAAATATTCCAGTTCTCCTGGGTACATGGTACTTGCTCTTCTGGCCTCATCCTAAAGTGAGGTATGGCCATGTGACTTGCTTGGCCAATGAAATACAAGCCAGTGTTCAATTTCCTATCTTTAGCCCTGCCAAGGTGACTTTGAAAGCCCAAATCCAACAGTCTGGGTCCCTGAGTGACTATGATGAACAAAGGCCTGCAACTAACCTGCACTGGACATACAATATCAGCAAGAAAACTGTCCTGTGTGAAGCTGCTGAGATGTTCAGAGGTTGGTACTACAGCTAACCTGACTAAACAGTAGTTGGTAACTAGAAGTAGGGTGCAGCTGTAACAAAAACCTAACTTGAGAAGATTATGAACTTGAAGCTATTAGGGGAAGAGATTTAGAAAACAATGTAAGTTTCATATTGTGATTACTAGTAGACAAGTTTAATAAGGTATCCTAAGACAGACATGTATATAGAAGTAGTTTGCAGGCAAAAATGAAAGGGAATAGAGTCCTTGAATATAGAAACTTGTAGGGTTGAAGCAACTGCTTCAACACAAAACTATACAGTTAAATTGATAAATGCTCTGAACAACAAAGAACAGTTAAAACTTGGCTTCAAAGCAAGAATCCAAACTAAGTATATAGCACCCAATGAATCTTGAACTTGAACAAAATGGCTCACGAAAAAGCATCCAAAGATGGCTCTTCCATCAATTCCTGATAAGCTCAAGGTATCTGCAGTTAGGTAAGAGAGAGACATAGGAATAAGAAAGCAAAGAATTATAGCAAATCTAAGTAGTATATCTATTTTAAAAAAAAAGAACTGGCAGTATGGCTATTGGCACTTGAAACTAACAGGAACCAAAGCAGCAGCATAGTAAATCAGTTGAAGAATCTATAACAACTAAACTGTGCAACTGAGACAAAATGTCCCTTGGGCCCCCAATTTCCTATAAGTAAAAAGTAGGTTGAGTAACCAAGAGTTCTAGAAAACAGTGAACGAGGGAGCCCCTCTGGGGAGCAGTCCCTATGCCTCAGCTGAGGGTCCTCACAATGTCTGTCTATTGTAACAAACTTGTTACAAGCAGGTAATGTTTCTCCCATTTTCCCCAACTGGGAATTTTTACTGCAATTTTTTCAGTCCCCACTCCCCTGTTATAACCTGGGTGTGTAGGAGGTAAATTACTTTGTCTCTTTTAATTTTAGGCTTCCAGATCAAGAGGAGCCCCATCTGGACACAATACAAAAAGTACTACACATTTCCCAGAAACCTTGGGCTGAGTTAATTACACTGAACAGGATTTTGGGGTTGACACCCTTGAGGTGAATCAAGTATTCTGCCTATAGGAGGGAGTTTGAGTTGAACTGTTTTAGTCCTTAAGTGCTTTTAAAATATTTCCAACTTTCTGACTTCCAGGCACAGAGAAACTAGATTCTTTAGTGGGACATACTCTGGCTGATGAAAAAGAAATGCAAAGAAAGTGACTCATATCATCTCCAGGTGGAAGCTGTAAGAGGCAGTGCACCATTCACTACCTTTTGGTTCCTGCCTTGGCAATCGTGGATGGAGCTTCCATCAGCCTGAGTCCCTGAGCAGAGCCCTCCTGCAGACCTCCACTGGACATGCAGCATAACCAAGAAGCAAACTTGCATTATATTAAGTGAGATTATGGACCATTCCTACTAATACAAAAAGCGTGATAAAATCCTCTAAAATATCATGCCTGATGTTTTAATTTCCTCTTGTATTGAAATGTATTAGGAATATCTCTAAACAGATTAATTTCAGAAAAGAGGTGTGATCTTGAATGAGTTACTTAATTTCTGGATCTCAGTGTCTTCATCCATAAGATGGGAATGATACCCTAAATACCTTATAGGATTGTTATGATTAAAATATATTTATATGTATAGCTGTTAGAACAGTGCCCTAGTACATAGTAGGAGCTACAGATGCTGGCCATTATTATTAAATACCTACCAAGTTTGCTGTAGATTCAGTTGTGCTATGAACATCTGAAGTTTCGTAGTCTGGTTCTAGAGAATATAGCCAAAGTAAAGTAAAAAGTGAGCATTATTTTAGAGTTTGAAATTTTTTAAAATAATGATTAATGTCAGATTACATCTAGATCTCACTGACCTGAAGGATACATATATTCTTTATATTTATAAAGACAGACGGAGGATGTTCGTGTAGGGCTTTTTAGCTCAGCAGAGCCAAATGGCCAAATAAAACTTGCTTTTTCTCAAGTTTTATTGATACGTGTTCAAAGCCAAAATGTATACATCCTTGAAACAAGTGATTTGAGATATTAAAGCCAGAAATTGGCTGTAAACAGTACAAATCTCTCCTCTGAAAATTCCCTTAGTTCTTAGATGTCAGACAGCGGTTATAAAAAGAAAAACAGCTATGTCCAATTTTTCCAGTGATTAAGTTCATTGCTCTAGAGTTAGGACTGTCTAGATTTGAATCCTGATTAACTGTATTACTTTAGGCAGGTTATTTAGTTTGTATCTCAATTTCTTCACCATAAGACATGGATAACAGTACCTAGCTCATCAATAGGTGGGGATGGGTGAAAAGAACACAGTGCTTGACATAAGAGTAAATGGTGTACAAAGTAATCTGAGTATAACCCACAGTTTGCTAAGGTTAGACATTACAGATATGTCATGCCTCATCTGTTTTTTCCACCTGTTTCAGGTAAATAATACATTTAAAATCGGTTTGTTCTCAAAGGATGGCTTAGTGGACTCAGGTACTGACTCAGGTACTTTGCTTTAAGATTGCTATGCCACTGAAATGCAGAGAAAGTCAATCTTCAACTGGATAGTTTTCCACCAAGCAAAATCCCACAGGTCAAAACTGGATTTGATTCTTAAACACATCACTTATCAAACACGCATGCATGCAACCACTCCAAACATCAGGATTTAAGGTGAGAAACAAAGACTGTGTTATGCCACTACAAGTGAGCAGTACATCTGAAGGAACCCACCAGGCTAAAGAGAGAAGACAAAAGGACCATGCTGAGTAAAAAGAGCAGAGAGTACACATCCTTAAACACATGCACCTAAAAAATCTTCCCAGATTGATCCTGTGCTAGATGTTTTTGTATTAAATTTCTAGAAATATCTATTTCCTTCTACATAAGTAACAGAAAGAGGATCATCACAAGAAAATAAGCAACTTGACTGGTAAGTCATTCAGACTCCTTTGCATCTCTTTAATCACCCAATTCCTCCAGAAATGCTACAGCTGGCATGCCACCTTACAGTAAAATGGTAAAAATAAGCACACTTGTGATGAGAGGCACTGTAACAACTGTTAAGGACATATATATAGAATATATACACACACAAACACGTTTTAGAGCCAGACAAACCTAAATTCAAAATTATCTCTGCCAATCACAAAGAACCACAATTACATGATTCCATTTACATGACATATCCAGAATAGACAAATCCATTAAGACAGAAAGCAGACTGGTGGTTTCCTAGGGCTGGGTGGAGGCAGATGGGGGGAAAATGGGGCGCAGCTGCTAGTGAGTACGGGGTTTCATTTTGGGATGATTAAAATATTCTAAAATTGATTGTGCTGATGGTAGGTATGCAACACTGACTATACTAAACACCACTGAATTGTATGCTTTAAATAGGTGAATTGTGTGGTATGCAGATATCTAAATAAAGCAATTATTAAAAATATAAATCTCTGCCACTTACCAAGGGTATGACTTTGGCCATTCACTTACCCTTTCTATCTCAGTTTCCTCACATACAAAATGAGGACACCACATCCATCAGAGGGATAAAGTAATTTATTAAATTATCAATATACTTACTTAGTACAGTGGATGGTCAATAGGATTCAGTGAATAGTAATGTTCATAAAGTAGATTACCTCGGATGAAAGAGTTATCTCACAGAAGTCTCGTAAAATAATAGCTAGTCATATGAAAAGCCTAAGGTAGTTATACAAATTGTGAGGACAACATGAATAGTGTTTTACTAATAAGGAATAGTTGTTTTCCATACAGGAGTCCCACCAAATCAAATTCACTAAAGACATATGCAGAGACCTGAAAATAAGTTATAACAATTTAGTGGCCTACAGAAATAGAAGTCTGTTCTTCTAAGAAATACCAAAACATCTTCAAAAACTTAAAAAGCTCTAAGACAAGAACTGGTTAACTTTCAAAAACCAGAACAGATACCCGCAAAACTTTGAATCTACAATGCCACAGAATCATCTTCAAAACCAAAACATTTATTTAATTGTAACTGACTCACCATTGTCATTCTGGTCATTGCCTTCCTCTGAATTCAAAGTCTGTGTGCCTGAGCTACATCCTTGCCTTGCAACATAGTATCTCGAAGGAACAGGAACCATTGTAGAGGGTCCTCCATGATTCTGTACCAAAGACACACACACACACATAAACATATACATGCAGTTCTCTCCCTCTGTAGTCAGAAGAAAAGAGCTATAAGTATTTTAAATGTACTTGACATTAGAAAAATGAAGAAATAATAATAAAGAAAACAGAAAATACTGCCCAAATTATTTGTCCACCTCTATCAACAAATCTCTAAGCACAGCTTCATAAAAAGTTTTTCACCTTTAAAAGCTCTAAGATGCAAAACTCATGTTTTCCAAAAGGGCTTTATTTGGTTGTTTGTATAAAAAGCTAAAATATATCCACATAGCCTTTATTTTAAAAAAAAGGAAAAGGGAAAGGTAAACAGCTTTTTGAGTAAAGCTTTGACCTACTTACAGGTAGAGTTGGATAAGCAGTCTCACTCTCTTCTTCAACTTCACAAACAGTAATGGTTTCTTCCAAGCCCCTGGGCATCTGTCCATTCTCGGGAGCAAAGCTATTCTCACTCTCCTTATTCACACAATGCATTTGGCGTTGACTACGCCTAAAGGAACTTAAGTATTTCAGAGTATGAGAAGGAGAAAAAAATGACAGAACATGGTAGTATCTTGTTTCTAATTTCTAAATAACAATTCAAACATCTCAATGTTGAAACTTTAAAAAAATTTAGATCACGTATTTGTTACTTAGCAATGAAGCCAAACTTACCCATTTTCTCTTTCAACACAGCATATTCACTTACCGAGATCTATAGGAGAAGTTATCATAGCTCTGGTAGCACCTTTTATCTGGGCCAGGGTGAAAACCAACTTTAGGGCCCTCCATATTGTGCCTATTTATAAAGCGAGATGAATCCCTCAGAACAGAGGGAAGGGAAAATATAATTCTTTATTTAGTAGTGCTTGAGAAGTCAGTTCTTGAAGTTAAACAGAATAAACAACATCTTTCTAAAATCATCCAAATACAGCTTTGCTCTCCTCACTACTGGTATTAGGTCTATCCATCATGCAAGAATATAATGCCACATTTATGGCACTCACCTTGATAGCATTCTATCACCTAGCATCTCTTCCAAATGCTCCATATTTCCCTAGACCCTGAGAATACTTATCTTCCAATACATCTATTAGACAAGAATTTAAGTATACATAACTTCTATCTTCTATGCTCCCTTTAGGCAGATATTATAAGAGAAATCTAAACTATTAAGATATTTCTAAATTCTACAGTAATTCTGTCCAGGAATGATTTACAGTATTTAAATAGAGATGTACATTATTTTTAAAGTCAGTAAAGCCTTACCTGGGCATCCCATCTATCCAACTGAGTCTCTGAGATGAATGCTGAGGATGAGAATGTTCACTAGACATAGTATTGCCAGCTTTCTGTGAGTGGTCATGCCCGTAACGCATACTCCGCTGAAGTCTTGGCGGGAAGGGAGTGTCTCCCTTGCTGTAAGCCATAGTCATATGAATCTCTTTTCCTCTATCTTTCTTGACCGTCTTCTTCCGTTGCTTCATGCTCACGTCTGACGTAGCTTTCAGGCAAACCAAGAAGCAGCAAATAAACTTCATAACCAAAGCAAAAGATGTAGTGTCTCCTCCCATCTCTCACAAATGCCTAAGACTCTCAGATTTTTTTTTAACAAACCAAATAAATACAGGGAGGGAAATTTTGTATTTGGATGGAAGAGCAAAACCAGCAGGTAATCTCTATCAATAGATACCTCAACTTTATCTTTTGTATAGGCAACTTTGCTCCTCAAAAAGTCATTCTCATCGCTTACATTAATATTACCAAGAAATTATGCCTATTAATATCCCTGGCTGCTTCTGTGAGGTGTTTTTCCTCATTCTTTTGAGAAATCTTGTCTCTAAAATCTATTTCAGCTTAACTTTATACAAAATCCCCTAGGAACCTGATTTTCAACTAGGGATAAATTTGCTACTTGGGGCACATTTGGCAATGTCTGGAAGCATTTTTCGTTGGCACAACTGGGGGAGAGGATGCTACCAGTATTCAATGGACAGAGGCCAGAGATGCAGGCAAACGCCCTACAATGCATAGGACCACGTCCCAAAACAAAGTGTTATCTGTCCCAAAATGTCAGCAGTGCTGAAGTTGAGAAACTCTCTATCTTAGAACAAGACTTATGTTATACCTTAAAAAAAATACAATATAGACAAGTACAAGAAGGGGAAAATAATAAAACCTTCAGCATACAAACCCATTTCTGGGCCATAGATCCCCGAAGTTTTCTGGTAACCTCTTCCTTTCTGAACAGGCACAGGATTCCAGACAGGAACAGGTGACACTGGGGTAACTGGTTTTAAGTTAGCCAGTGGAACAACATGCCTTAAAATTGTAAAGATGTCACCATGAAGCCATTGCAACAAGACTGGATTCTTAGTAGTTACACATATCCCAACCCCTCTTGCTTCATTTTCAAGTGTATTCTACTTAAAACATTGACACTAGCTATCCGTTAAGGTTTTCTATTCAGACTAGAAAATCTAACAATAGTTTGTACGATTTCATAGCTCTTTATAGTATGTATCCTGTTCCAGAGGAGAGATTGTGGTAGAAAAGTTTACAAATACTTGTTCCCTCTCCTTGGAAGAGGATTGTATTTTCCCACCCCCATTGACTTCAGGCTCATCTGTGTAACCCACTTTGGCCTATAAATGTGAGCAGATACCTGAAGAACCTGCACATGATTTGTCCTGGTCTCATTCCCTAAGTGTGATCATGGGAACATATGCCTAGATAGAGCCTTTGCTGGACTGGGTCCTCTTTGCTGACAGACTGTAAACATACTAAACAAGAAATGAATATTATTGGTTTAAGCCTGAGATTTCTTTGGTTGTTAGGACAGCATAATCTAGTTTAATGTTCTCAACTGGCAGAGGCTCAGTTAGCAAAGCCGCTTTCTAATTCATCTGAACAGTTTTATACCAGAATTCTGTTGTATTAATATTCCTAATAAGTTTGCTAATGCCTAGGATTTAGAAACTTTTATACAAGTAAGTATACCGAAACATCATACTTCAGCATATGCTTTTACAATTTGAAGTAAGTTATCTTAAGCTTCTACCAGATATAACTTTTTGGTTCTTTTACTAGCATGCTGGTAATTCTCAACAAAAAAGCATCAAGAGCCACAGATTTTGGTAATTCAACAACTTATTATATTCTCACTTTTCTGCCAGTTCTTCAATGAAGACTGTTACTGAATGGTTCTCATTTCCAAGTTCCTGAATATGAGCATCATAGTATCTTCCACCTGAATCCAAGTGAACCTGAAATGGGAAGAGACAGTAAGAATATATCTAGTCTCAGGTTGACAGACATTATCTGGCTTCTGCCAAATAAAAAGATCACTTCTCCCAAATGGAGTTCAGATGTGTACTTATTAAACCAGTTGATAATCAACACTGGCAGTCTGGTTCAATGGAGGCAGCACATGCTGAAAGAGCCTTATATCTAATCACAAACATTTGTAATTAAAATTTAACACAAACATGAGAAGGCACATTTTTCTAGCACTTTGTAAATTAGTTTTCTAAACTTTATGTTAGTAACTAAAGCCACAAATTATTTGGAGGAACATATTACTAATTCTTTAAAGAAAGAACTAACCTGACACTTGTCTCCCAAATAGTACAGTCTCCCAGCATACTCCATGTAATTAGATTTTTGAAGTTCTATTAAAAAAAATGAAGATTCAAGCTCAAGTGCTCTACATCATTTGATTTTGTATATTTTATCAGTGTCTTTGATAATGCTACCACCATAAGCTAAGTTTCTTTTAAAAAGTTTTAATGAGTCATTCTATTCCTCTTCATGGGTTTTCCTCTAAATCAATTTAAGGAGACCTGCCAGAATATTTTTGTTCTACAAAACACAAATAGGTGGAAACTGGAGGTTGTAATCTTAGAATTGGTCAAACACCAATAAGGTACCATTTAAAAGTAACAAAGTCTATTACTGTTAACAACATTTTGTGTTCCATGAGGTCATAACCTCATTCTAGATTATTAACTATAGCTAGGTTCATCAAAGTTCAAGTTTTTGAATATTAAACATTAAGGGCTACCTTGAAGGCAGAACTTAAGGCTTACTTTGATCAACTTAGCTACCAAAAAAGGAGAAAACAACGACCTATTTTAAGGGTTGGCAACATTTCTCTGTAAAGAGCCACATAGTAAATGTTTAAACCTTTGTGGGCCACAAAGACTGTTCCAGCTACTCAACTCTGTCACTGAAATTTGGATACTGAAATCTAAATTTCATTTAATTTTCATGTGTCACAATACACTGTTCTTTCATGTTTTTCTGCCACTTAAAAATATAGAGACCATTCTTATCTCATGGAACACATAAAAACAGGTGGCAGGTCAGATTTGGTCCACAGGCCATGGTTTGCAGACACCTGATGTATTATCAATGAGGGAAGTCTTAACAAATTAAATAAGCTTATTTCCAGTTTTAAGTTTCTGGTACTCCTAGCTATCTACACACTATCACCACACAGTCTTTTCAAAGTTGATGTCCCAGATAAACATCAGATTCTAAGATCCATCCTCACTTCTAAGTCTATTTGTTTCCTCTTTTAGATTTAAACCACGTATTAAGCTAAAAAGTACCCGGCTGTTTTTTTTTAACCTAACAGTACATTGACATCTAATAACATCTCTTGTTAGAAACAATCTGCAAAATTATTCTCCTGGATCTGTCAGGATTCAAAAGTATTCTGTTGACATGTCATTACCTTTTTTGCTGTCCAACCAAACATCAAATTCTACATTATGATAGATTTCCGGATCCAGGGCTCTGAGCACCTTGTAAGGGAAGGGCATCTTTGACTGGTTTCCTGGAGACTAAAATAAAAAATAATCATGCTACAAACTCCCCATCCTTAGCTTGAGTCTTCCTTCTATGAAGAAGGAAGAATCAGGTTCTTTTCTTCCTTTTCTTTTTTTAAAAAAGTATGTACATGTGGCTTCCTTTCCTTCTTTATTAAAAGAATAAATGTATGCCACAATAAATTTTATTTATTGCATCTGAAAGGTGAGGAGACTAAAGAAGCAATTACGCAAACGATCTAAAAATATGGCATAAGGGAAATTTTGTCTAAAGCAGCCAACAACTCAAGACATGACACATATAAATCAATGCAATACAGACCAACATTAAAGATTCAATCACAAATATTCAACGAGTCTCTCATTTTGATATGCACACAGAGGTGCAAGTGTTTCTATACCCTAAAATAACTGGGAAAAAATCTGAAAAGTTTGCTTTCGTCAAAATTTGTTACGATTTCCAAAGGAATTGCCTTCTTCCACTCTTCTACTTCCTTTTGTTCAATTATTTCCCCAAATTATCAGCACTTGAAGCATACACAGTGATTACTGTAATAATGTCCTACATAGCTAGCTTCAAATGGAAGGTCTGCTTGATTTTATGCCTATACAGATGGTAACATTTCTCCTGTTTCTTCAACCATGATTATCAACCATTTTCTTTGCAGAACAGGGTTATTATATTTTTTAATGACAAAAAGAAACCTTAGCATCAGAAGACTGATTACAAACTAATTATCTATTGGGTTTGAAATATAACTTGAAAAGAGCTGAAATTTCTCAAGGGTTTGGATTACTTTGAAAAAAAATCTACAATTCCTGAAGAATAGAAATAGAGAGAACATTAAGCACGTATTTTAGATTTTCAGATTAAGACTTCCACAAAGGAAGACATCAACTTTTCCACCACCCCGTTTAACTAGAATGGACTTATTTGACCTTAACTAGTTTAAGTTATGATGCCGTATGCCAAGAATATGAAATTTCTTTGCCCTAGAAAATCTCAAACCTTTGCTTCATCTGTTCCTTCACTGTACTCCTCTGGTATATTTTCAGCATCGCAGCAGGCACCTAACTCTTCAGTCCTAATTAAAAAGATTTAGAACAAAGAGCTTCATATAAATGCAGAAGCTAAGAAGTCTTAAGCCTGACATCTGTACCACCACCTAGTGGTTAAAGTAGCTCAGTTCTAAAAATGAGGCAAATACTATTTCATCCCAACATTTACCTTTATGCTTCCTTTTTTGAAAGTATACTCAGCAGATTACCTCCTATAATCTGTGGGGAATGGCCCCTATAATCATGCCCTTGTGTGATCCCCCTCTCCCTTAGTTTGCTTCTAACCAATAGGATGTGTATCATTACATTAACATAAGAATGTAGTGACTATGTTGCTGGTAGCTCTATGACTCTAAGAAAACAAGCAGCCATGTTCTCCAGCCCCATGTAGTAAAGAGCTGAGGGTTACCTCTAGCTGACAGCCAGCAAATAAATCGTAGTCCTACAGCTGAAAGGAACGGAATGCTGACAAGAACCATGTGAGTAGGGGAGTGGATCCTTCCAGTCAAAACTCCAGGTAAGAACTCAATACTAACATCCTCATTGCAGACTAGAGTGAGACCCTAAGCAGAAAACCCAGCTAAGCTATACCCAGACTCCTAACCCACATAAATTGGGAGATAAGTGTGTTATGCTAAGCTGATGAGTTTGTGGTAATATTGTTATGCAATAGATAACCAATATACCTTGACTTCCTACTACTGTAGTTTCTGTAAGCCTGAAGCCCTTAAGACAAAATCAGTGAAAAGAAACTTTCACCCTGATATATGGCAGCTACCTCCTGCATTCCCATATAAGCTTTAAAACAAACACCCAAAAAACCCTCTTCTACCAAAAAAAGAAAATAATCGCAAGCATTAAACATCCAAGAAATAGAACTTCATGACAAAAAGACAATGTGATACCTGACTGGAACCAAACCTCTCTGAATTTCCAGACAGAACTAGGAATCAAGAATATAAAACTACAATTTTAAATGTAAGTTTTTGACTAAATCTGTTTAATGGCTGCCTCAATCTACATACTTAGGGAGTACGAAAAGCAGACACTCAAAAGCTTCTAAAACTAGTCTTACCCTGAGAGATTCTTTACTAGATGGATGTGTGTCAAGTAACCACTCTGAACCTCAGTTACCTTCTACAGAATGATGGTGGTGGTTCTGAATCAGTTTTTGTCAATATGTGGTCCACAGCTTACCTACATCTGAATACTTGGGTATACTTGTTAAAGGAGCAGATTCTTAACTTCACTCTGACATCAAATTTTGTGAAGGTAGGCCCAAGAATCTGCCTTTCTAACAAGCACCCTAAATATTTTGTATACAACTGAAGTTTGAGAATCATGGGATTTGATAGTTCTAAAGTCTCTTCTAGCAATAAAAAAACTAGATTCCAACTTGCACCAAACCCCACAAAGCCTGAGCAACTCACAGTACAGGCTGCCTTTTTGGTAAAACTTCTCTTTCCTCATTAAAAAAATGTATATCCTTATAAATACACATATACATACATTCATATGTGTAGTCTAAGTCATAAGCTTCCAGGTCCCTTCCACTTTCAAATGATGATGCATAGAAACATGAACATAACGATCTCGTGATTGACTTCCCCTTTCCCTTTATTACCTATCCTGAGCTGAACTCTTGTAGTCAATAAGGTCATCCTCACTGCCAGTCACATTGTTTCTGTTCTTTCTGGAACTACTTCGAAACAACTGAACTGCAGTCTTCAACTTTTCTTCATCTACAACAAACACATCTTTATAGAGAATTTCATACAATATAGCTAAAGGAAGAAATGACCAAAATGCAAATTATCAAAATAAGGTGGTTCTATAACCATGTAAACAGCTATTAACCAGTATACAAATTCAACAGGTGTCAGCAGGGTTTTAAAAGAGCTATTCATGGTGGGTCCTTCAATTTAAAGATGGCCAACAAATCACCTGAAATCACACCAGAACATTTATAAAGTCTTCAAGTACCTTGACAAACAGCAGCACTTGACTGAAACTGTTTTGAGTATACTGAATCATAATGCCCATTACTTGAAGAGCAGAGTAGAATCTGAAGAAAAAAGCACACAGAAAACAATTACGTGAATGTTACACATCTTACAACCATGAACTACTTGAAATTAAGTTGCTAATCAGAAACTGTTTTTTAAAAACAGTGATTTCTAAATTATACATATGAGTGATATCATACAGTGTTTGTCTCTTATTTCATCCAGCATAATGTGGCAATTGTATCTCAATAAAGCTGAAGAAAAGTGATTTTTAAAATTTACATATAGATAAATGCAAGCTATACCTCAGAGATTTTCTTGACAGTGACTTTTAAATGCCGAGGTTAAAATTAAAACCCCTGCTAAGACTTTACTGTAAGCCTCGATCACATTCTTGTAAATACAAGAAACAAGTACTGATGTACAGATTTGCAAAACATGGGAACTTCTACAAATTGGGTAAATAAAACAGAAAGTCTACCAAAAGTTAAAAGACTTAGCTTAACTTCTAAAAACGACTGGAAAAATTAGGTCAAATACTCAAATACCCCAAACCCAGAGCAGAGGGGATTGGGAAGGGACATCAATTGTATTAAATATGTTTTCCACTGTACCAAATAGCAATATACCAAGCTATCAATACTACTAACGAGACTTACTTAATGAATTAAGGCACTGAGATGGCTAAAGAATGAGTTAATTTAATGTTGATTCCTTTGACTTCTAGTTTTTCCCAACACCAATTCAAAGGCCATGTTCACTAACTAAATTATTTCAGTAAAAATGCCCCCTGGTTCCATGTGAGGAAATATGTTTATAAACTGCTCCAAAACCTTTCTGAATTTTTGTTCAAAACCCTGTGTCTTGTGTAAGAGATGTAATCCTTAGTGATTTAGCCTAATTTGAAGATATCTCTGGTTATCAGCAACCTGAAGTACCAAAGGTGGTTCTACGGGAAGATGTTGCCACCAAAGCTCCATGGCAGGAAATTATCTTTTTAATTTTTTTAATTTTTATTTTTTACTTTTTTTCTACCTTCTTACACTACCCTGGGCAAACTTCTCCCAATAATCAAATTCTCTGATTCTAGATTTTTCATTCTTCCCTAGCCTTTTGTTTGAAATCACAACTTTAATCCCATCAGTATAATCCAATTCAGAGAACTGAGGGCAAGTGTCAAGCTAAAGTTACTCACAGAAAAGTTTAACTTTTTAAGTTTTACCCACCCCAAGGGGTATTTACAGTTAAGAGGGGTTTTTTAATACACAAGGAACAGTAAGCAGATTTGAGCAGAGAAGCCTCTCTATTTTGGACTAGAACTGGGAACTCAAACTAAGAAAGGTTAATAACTGAAGGTAGTTGTTAAGGAGTAGTTGAAATAAAACTAAACGTAATAAACTAATAAAACATAATGAAAACGTTGCCAGATCCAAAACTGATGAACAAGCAGGGAAGAAGAAATATGACTGTACAATTTCTCTATTCAAGTAGCAATGAGTTCAATTTTGACAGAAGAGGCAAAACTAGGCATGATGGCTTTCATGTTGTGGGTGGCATCCCAACATAAAATAATTCTTTCATATAAACTTGTGGGTGGTCTGTCTGTTGGGGGTAGGCGGGTGGGATGTAATGGCAGTAAAGTAGTGAAAAAATGAAGTAGATCCGTATTATTGATGAGGATAGATATTTGAAAAGAACAAGTAACAGAATGTTAAGTTGAGTCCATCTACATTTAGAAAATAAATGCAAAGAGAATGATACAGAGGGATACTCACCCAAACTAGTTTAAAGCATGAGACTTAAGAGCATGAACGGGGACTTGATTTTTTACTCTACACGCCCAGGTTTAAGTTTTATTTTGTTTTTAATATATTAATTTATTTCTATTCTTTCTAGATAGACCAATGTGCTGAGTGAAGATGGCTAGTTTCCAGTAGCATTTTCTCTGATACTGGATAACTATGTAAAATACAGAGTTAAGTCAATATAGATGATGAAAGGAACCAAGGTGACCATTAGGCATTTATTTCAGAATTTGCTCTAAAATATATTTTATGGAAGGCTCACTGTTTCTGATAGTCATTTTTGAAAACCCAAACAATTCAAATACAAATCTTAAGAGCCTAAAATGAGATACAGTACAAGTTTAAGGCAAATCAAGGTGTCACCTAACAAAAATACTCTGCTGTCACCTGGCTTTCCCATTCTTAAGTTTCAGAATGTACAATCACACTTATACACTCCCAAATTAGACATATATACACAATCCTTTGCATGTAAATACACAAATGCTGATAAGTATTAGCTCTCTCTATGTAAGCTAATAATAGTCTCATCAGCTCAAGGATGAGATTTATACATGCTATTCTCATGGCTACATACTCAAAAGACCTTACATTTTTGTAGTATCATGGCTCCCAGTGTATGATGCTTTCCCCTTAATTAGTTCAATAATATCTCTAAGATGTATAGGACTCATATGAAAATAGAGCTGTGTAACTGTAGGAACTAAGGGCTGGGTATATGGATATTCACTACTCAACTCTTTCAAAACTTTTCTCTATATGAAAATTTTAAGAATAAAATATCCAGGAAAAAAATGAATTGCAGGTCTAAAGAGTCCTAATAAAGATCTAAATGTCTAAATCTCCTCAGGCAATGCTGTGTAAAATTGCTAAAACCAAAAAGCTAACACTCCTTCTCTTCAGACAATTCAGAGTATGTCACACCTTTGTTTAAAAACTGTTTAGGGGCACTTGTACTGATGTATTTTAAGTACATTTCAGACACCAAAAATTAAGTTGGACTGGTAAACAGAGATGGGATAGATATATGATAAAACAAGGACACGAAATACTGACAGCAGATTAGGTGGTGAGTATATAGATGCACACTGTAAAATACTTTTAGGTTTTCTGTATGTTTTAAAAGCTTAATAATAAAATAGTAGAAGAAAACTTCAATTGACTATTCTGTACAATAAAAAGCCAAATTCTTAAGATGGCCTTCTAACACCCCTCATGTAACTCTAGCCTGTCTTTTCAGCATTGACCTCTCCCCACCCAATTATCTCTTGCTTCCATCCCTTTGCGTATGTTTCCTCTAAACAGATTGCTTTCATACTTGTTGGATTCATTTTTTGGTATTCCCCATAAATGTCACTACCACCATGAAACTTCCTAAACTCAAGGAGAGTGAAGGGCTTTTTTTCCTATGCTCTTTGTACATACTTCTTTATAAAATGTATTACTTTGCTGTAGTTAACTATTACATGTCTGTCTTGATAACCCCTTAAGACCCCTGGCAAGGATTTTGTTGTATTTACTTTGGTATCCCCAAAGCCCAGTAAAGTGTCTGGTACACTACAGAGGATTAATGTTTGCTGAGTAAAACAGATGGAAGTACCATTAGTAAAACAATGCGCCCCAATTTATACTTATTTTCCAAATTATCTCTTGCAGCCCACTTGGCCTTCCCCTATTCCTAATGCCAAGTGTGTAGTTCACATCTTTTATCTAGATTACTTAAACATCTTAACAGTTCTCTCAGTGTCTGGTCTTCTCTCACCATAATAAAAACGTTGCCTGAATTTTGCTCCATGGAACAAAACAACTTACAAAACTCAAATACTGTGCAGTCTATATTTACTAATCAAATAATCAGGATAAAAGGCTTTTCTTAAAATCTTCTTCAAATAAAAATTGTATGCTGAAGAACAATTTGTTTACCTGTTGAGAGTTCTCAACCAACAAAAGAACCTACTATTTTACAAGCACTCTAGTGGGCAGTAGTAGCATACTCTTCAGACTTATGAGAAAGGAGAAATGAAAACAATACAATAAAATGAAAACAATATGGAAAACAATACATGAATGATAAATATTATAATTACTTCAGGTCATGTTAGAGGAAATCAAAGGGAGGAAATAACTCCAGGGGAGCTGGGAAGGTTTCAAAAGAACTGACATTTGAGATACAAAGGAAAACTATCTGGAAGCATGGAGGACTGACTGGAGAGGAAAAGGCTGGTAGCAGAGAAAATTCTCATTTAGACTATGCTTATTTTTTCCATTAATTAGGTAAAAAAAAAAAGGATTTCCGATGCCCTGGTAAGCCAGCAGTATCATTCAGTTTATTTTAGTAAACACTCACTCATCTTCTTACCTTGTCTTCATAGCCATTATCTGTGACATAAATTGGAGGCTTTCCGGGATAGCAATAAAGAATGAAATCCCGTCTACGTGAGTAGAAAACAATGGTGGGCGAGAACAGGTAATTTAGTATATAAATGAGAAACTTCTAAGAACAAGTATTTGTGCTTTTAAACAGCATACTTCATTTATATAAAATAATCCAAATGTTTAAAAGACTAAAGAATGCTAAATTAAGGTAGGTCAAGTCCAGTGGATTGCTTAATATATGTATCTTAACATGGGAGAAAGAGCAAAGACAGATTAACAAGTGTATGTATGTTTTTGAGTTTTGGGGGCTCCCATTTATTTAAGGTAGGGGTCGACAAATTTTTTCATGGTAAAGACCAGACACTAAGCATTTCAGTTTTTGCATGCCATATGGTTTAACTTTGACATTGTAGCTCTGAAAACAGCCAGAGACAATGCACAAATGCAGATAACTGTGTCCCCATAAAACTTTATTTATGCAGACTGAAATTTGAATTTCATGTAATTTTAACATGCCATGAAATAGTCTTCTGATTTCTTAACCATCTAAAGAAATTTTTTAAGCATTCTTAGCCTGAGGGTCACACAAAAACAGAAGCAGGCCAATTTACAAGCTGGGTGCCAGTGAGTTAAAAGCCAACAACTGACATCAGCCTGCCCAATGCCTCTTCAATACTACTTATTGCTGGACTTACTAAGAAAGGAGCAGATTGCAAAATACTAACTTGAATAACTCCCCAAAACAGGGTTCTAACCCTACCAAAGTTTATGCCATCTCACCATCTTAAAATTTTTTAAGGAGTCAAAACAGATTAAACTTCTCAAATGAACAAGATTTCCACACCTACAACCTACATTATGTAGCTATTTTTCAAAATTGCACAACTTTCAAAAATGCTTTTTCAGTTCTGAAGACCAAAATAGAACTTGCAAAAGCAGTAGGGCAGTGTTTCTCAAATTTCCCATTATCACCTCCCTAAAAAGCCTTTTTAGGCTTTTCTTAATTTCCCTATGAAATTTTAATACCAGATACACTGTACACTTATGTATTGTAATTCTTTGAAGAACCACAAACCATCATTGTAATATCTAATATTTTTGTCCTTAAGAACAAATTTATTTTAGAAGTGATACTGTTCCATTGAGGATGCAAGCAAAAGAGGCACAAAGTTAAATACATAAAAACTCTAAGATAAATATTCTGACTTTCGACAGGAATAATACCAGCAGTTCTTAAAGTCCTTTATTCTTCCATTCAAATGTACAAAATGCTAGAGGTTCTCCACCCCAAAATTGTACCAACTGACTTTCCTTAGGTTTCTTCATTCTATATATCAATACATCAAATCTCAAATTTTCCCAATACTAAGGGGACTTTAATAGAAATCTTACACACACACACACATACACACACTTTCTCTTTTTGAAAAAAGGAGGTTCAACTTACTTATAAATTAGAGAAAGAGCTCTTATTTCCAGCTGGCCAGCACTTTCCTAAACATAAACAGTGCATAAAGTTTTAAGAATGTTCTGCAGCTAGGAGGTAGTTTTTCCAAGTTTAACAATTGTTTTTTTAGATACTTAGCACTACTTTAGATGAAGAACTTCTATAACTTGCTTTGAGGCTTGGGATATTGTGATAGTTAATCATTAACATAAACTTAGTCTGAAAAAAGTAGACCTAAAGACAACCTTAGTTAGTTATTAACAAGGACAATTATTATGGAAGATTTAAAAGGCATAATAAAAATGGAATTAGCATAAGAATATGAAGTCAGCAGGGTATTTAGCACAAGTGTTTTAAGTCCACAACTATGGAACTAATCACATAAATTATTTTTAAATAAATGTGTTTATGGATCTTACCCCCACATAAAAAGATAACTACAAATCAGAAGAGTTCTAAGAAACAACCTCCTAGTAACATTCATTACCAGTCCCCCTCCCCGATTAGAGTGAAAAGGCTTAGGCTTGTCCTGTTGCCAGTGTGTACTCTTTCACTAGTCTATGGAGGATAAAATTCTTAACACACAATTCTCACTATTCGACACAAAACAACAGTTCTGTAGCCAGACTCTAACCTTTTGCAAGAACTATTTGATTCAAATCAGCTGGCTACTTAAGAAAATAGGTTGAGTCTAGCTAAAGTGACACAGCTGAATGAATATTTAGGTTACTATTCCAAATACTCTGAAAAGTGTAAACCCCCATGTTTGAATCTTACCTTGGGATCTCCCAACCGTTCCAGGTATTTCTCAAAAGATCCCTCTACATACTTCAAAAATAAAAAAAATCTTGACTTAAACAATTACATATTATTACCAAAATCTGATTATATTCTTCAATATTATCCTCCAATAGATTTTTGTTCAACTCAACAATCTCAGTATTCAATTATGACTTTGCACAGCATCTCAAGAAGGTTTGCACATACACAAAGTTTTGAGTGGAGAAAAGATGGACTATACAATCATCTTTGGAACTGATCCTGGCTTATTCACCTACCTGTGCATTTCATCCAATAGTATGCCTTTTAGTTTTGAAATTCCTATTTAAGTAACCTGACATTTTCATGAATCAAGCAAGCCCAATAATTAGAATAATTTCATACTTGACAGGAGACATGCATTTACCAAGTTAAACTGAGGAATCTTAAAGGAAATTTATTTCAAAAAAGCCCAGGGCACAAGTCAACTTTCTGGGGTGATGGAATTGTTCACTATCTTGATTACAGTGGCAGTTATATGACTGCATATTATTGCCAAAACTAGTAACACTTAACTTAAAATGGCCAATTTTACTGTATGTAAAGTACCTAAATAAAAATAAAAATTCAAGGACTATATGACTAGTCCCATGCAAATATATCACAAGATGTGAAATCAAATTTTAATTTTTCCTCAAACCCTTTTAACAACTTTTTGAATCACAACTGACATATAAACTGCAAATATTTAAATGCAGTTAAGTTTTGACATATGTACACAGTCATGAAACCACCATGATATCTTGATAGTGAATATTAAGTTTCCTTGTGCACCTCTTTAGCCCCACCGACCCAAAAGCGATCACTGATCTGCTTTCTGTCACAATAGATTGGTTTTCATTTTCTAGAGTTTTAATAAAGGAAATTGTATGGTATGTACTTTGGTGGGAGGGTGGTTCTGGCTTCTTGCACTTGGCATAATTATTTGGAGATTCATCCTCATAGTTTTAAAATTTTACACACATCTCTGTTACTCAAAATGTCATGCACAAATAAGAGCAAACATCACTTGGGAGTTTAACTATGCAGAAATTATGGGCCCTGCTCAGACCTACTGAATCATAATCTGTATTTTAACAAAATCCCCAAGTGATTTGTATGCACAAAAGTACTTGAGATGCACTGCTTTACACCATCGTCTTGCATTTAAAGTAATTTCACGAATAATCCTTCCCCAGGTGGGGTGAAGATAGTAATTAATTTCAAGGTAATAGCTTTAAAGTAAAAAAGCCTTTATGTAGTTTTAAAATTCACCAAAACCTGTTGAGAAAATTAAGAGTAAACCTCAAACAGCAGGTAAATACGCAAAATTTGGTCAGAAGAAAACAAATAGTACTGGAAAAGCTAAACACAGTAAAAAAAACAACACAACACACAACAGCCACACAAGACACACTTCAAAAAACGCCTTGATAAAACCTAATTTTGTTCCAAGAATTCAAACGCTTCAACATATACAAAGATGTCTTCTAAGTTGTTTTAAAGTCAATCATTAGTGACAGTGCTTCAATTACCAATTTGTCACATGAAAATAGGTTTCCTAATTTGTTTCCTTACAATTAAGTTTTATAAGAATAAGTTGGCTGGCTGAAGAGCATTGTGCACAGAATTAAAGCAGAGGAGGTTTGTATTTGTATATATTTTTAAATATACAGTTGCATAGCCAAACCTTTGTGAACTATGATTAATTGTTCAAGAAAACAGTGGTCTGGATAATAAAAAACAGCAGTCTTTGGGGAATTTTTGGTGTGGGGGAGAAAGTAGTTCAAAGTATACAGATTAACTGTTTCTTCTCAACTTTTAACTGGAGTACAAAACAGTCTAATTACAGAAGGAGGTCCAGCGCATGGCTAGCCAGGGGGAAGGAAGCCAGCTGGAAATTAAATATTTGCTATTGAGAGAATGATGTAATTTTCATACATAGAAGCTCAAAATTCATTTCCCACCTGCTATATACTCTCCCTTGGGTATGTATTCTACTTACAGACTCAAAAGGTTGTGGATTTTCTCTCATATATGAAACACAAGCCTTCCTGATTTCCAAATGATGGACCTGGCTGCAAAACAACTAAAAGAAGAGAAAGACCAGCTCACTGTCAGCAGTAATTTGACACAGAAGCTTCTAAATTAAGACTATGAACTGGACACTTCATTATCCCTTAATCAGAACGTATGTAGGAAATTAGGAAATTAAGTCCTCACTAAAATCTGTGATTCCTTTAGTGAGATGAGAATGAGGGGAGATGATTCTGTCAATGCCCGCCCCCCCCTGCTTTTCTACTCTGTCGGGGAACAGCCTATAAATTTTTCCTTAGGCATAAAATTTAGAAGAAGTGGAACGTTGCTGAAAAGGATCAAGATACACTTCAAAATATTGTTTAACCCCATTATCTTCCTTACATTCCAAAGTGGCACTTAGAAAAGTTAAGATAGCAAAAGCAAGCAATAGATTTGGAATAATGAGTAAAGGCACACAGCAAGGTAATAACTGGCTTATACACCTGATGTTTTTACTAGGGAAGGGATAAGGAGTTTTGTTTTGGTGGGCTACAGGTCTTCTAGTTACAGTACCAAGCCATGTCTCAAACTTTGAAAACTCAGTACAGGGAAGACACATTTGTTTTCCTTTTACCTGCTCCGAAATAGCCCGAAAGAGGCAAGAGGCATCCTTGACAGTCAGCTTCCGAAACAGCCCTAAGCTGCCTAAATATTCATCCATTGATGCCTCTCTCAGAGACTTCTGGGCGTAGTACTTTTTCCATCCTTTATACATCGTGCATGAGAGGGTGGAGGTGGGAGGGAAGGATAAAGGAACAGGGTGGCAAAGAGGGAAAAGGGTGCAGGTAGGAATGGGGAGCAGTGACAAGGGCTTGCTTATGCAGGTATCTGGAAAGCAGCCCAAAGTCTAGGTATGAGAAGGCAGATGGGAGTCCGCACTGTAGAATCTTGGCACTTCTCAGGAGCAGGAGAAGCAAAGGGCTGGCTTGCCCAGGACAAGTCCCGACCCTGTGAAAAGAAGAGGAAGAGCCAAAGCTCCTAGGTATAGAGAATTAGACTTGAGAAGATGTGGGAAGGGGAAGGTACTTGCACAGCTACCTTTTTGGGGAAGGGCAGAATTAATCCAATCAGCCCAAGGTTGAGAAATATGCATAAACAGCTGAGCTTGGACCAAAAAGAAGCGGAGTTTGCTTCTTAACTCAAGGCAACTGCTGCAGGAGGCAGCAAAGGTCTGCAATAAGGCTCAGGTGTGTCATGACGCAGCCTGGCCCACATTACATTGCTTTAAGATCTCTGCCCAAATTTTCCACAACAGTCTCTGCCAAGTTCCCTGTTCTATCCATAGTTTCATGGAGATGAGGAAAAAAATTGGAAACTAATGAACTAGTAAGCTTTAATATTAAGAACATCTTAAAAAACAGAGAAACTGACTGTGGTTGGGGAAAAGGCTCTCTTAACCTGAAGGGGCAGAAATCACAGTTCAGGCAGAGTGCCAAAAGCAAGCAGCTGGAGATTTCAGGTATGGGGTTTATGTAATCTCCTTTCATTCTCCCAGTTAATAATAACCCTCTGCTAGCAACACAGAAATTAAATTCCTTAATTATGCTAGGAAATGCTGACAGAATTCTGAACTACTGTCTCCAAACTATTGTACAGCACTAACAAAGAGTAAATACAAAAAAAGGGTGTTTCCAAACAAACAGAAACAATGAAAACTTCAACTGAAGCAGCATGAAGGAAACATCGTGCCCACAAACTTTCTAAGAAACTATGTAAGAGACATGTTTCAATGTATCAGGGCACTTTTCGGAAAAACTAGATTCTGAGAAAACCAAAATAAAATATGACTGTGCTTTGTAGGGTTCAAAGCCAGGACCGGTCACTTGTATCACTTGATTTCATTGTCAAGTCTCTCGTTTTTATTTAAATACAAAATTCTAATTCCTTTATTGGTTTAAGTGTTAAAAAATATAGATCAAAGCTGGCTTTGGAGAAGTTACAAAATTAAGCTGCTTTTTGAAAACTTTCACGTATCTGTGGATCCAGTAGTAATCATGACTGCCACCTAGAGGAGAAGTGTCAGTAATCAACCTTATAATTAAGGGATGAATTAAAGGCATTTTAGAAAAAAGAGTGAATTCTTGACTCCCTTCAGCATAACAATTTGAAATTACCGTAACTAATTTTTTTTAAAGGAACTGTAACACTGGGAAAATGACTCTTTTTGCAAAAGTTCTGAAACATGGTTTGGGAAGAGGGACCACCATCTTTCTTCAAGGCCACAAATTCACTGAGAAAAACTAATGGTTATAATAAAAAGTTAATCATTTCTGGTATTTTTTTTTACCTGAAGAGAAAGATACAATTCTGCATATTTATAGCTGCATATATAAAAATTAAATTAATACTAATCAATATATTTCACCATGAGGAAGATAATAGGGAAAACTGGGAGATGGAGAGAGAGTCTAATAGGAGAGAAGAGAACAAAGACAAGAAAAAGACAAGCAGACAAAAAGAGAGGAAAACACAGAGAAAGCACAAAAAGACCCACACAAATACTGTCAATTTATTTTTAACAAAGGTGCAAGAGCAGTTCAGTAAGAGATGATAGTAGTTTCAACAAATGTGCTAGAACAATTGACATCTACATGCAAAAGAAAAAAAATGATCTTCAACCTGCACCTCACGTCCTGTACAATAATTAACTCAACATGGATCAAAGAACTAACTGTAGAACTTTGAAACTTTTAAACACAAGCATAGGAGAAAATCTTGTGGACCTTGAGTTAGGCAGATTTCTACAATACAATGTAATAAAAAATTGATTGGACTTTGTCAAAATTAAAAACTGCTCTGCAAATTACAACGTTAGAATGAAAATAAATAAGCCACAGCTGGAAGAAAACATCTGTATATCACATATCTGACAAAAAAAAGTTTGTGCCAAAATATATAAGGAACTATAAAAAGTCAACAATAACAGTTTTTAAAATGGGAAGTTTTACCACACATTTTACCAAAGATATAGGAGTGGCTAATAAGCATGTAAAAATATATTCAACATTAGTCAGTACGAAAATTCAAATTAAAACCACAATGAGACCATCACTACACACCCACTAGGATGGCTATAATAAATACAAACAGTACAAGTGTTAGCACGGACATGCAGAAACTGGAACCTTATTAAAAGAAGCCAGAAGCAAAGGAGTCTGATTCCAAAAGATAAATGATTCCACTCACATGAAATATAACAAACAGACCAATCTGTAGAGACAGAAAATCACTGGTTTCCTGGTGTGGGATGTTAATAGTTATTAATTACAAACAGGAAGAAAGGATCTTCTGGGGTGACAGAAATATTGAAAACTGTTTTGTGGTAATGTTTGCACAGTTCTATGTATATTTACTAAAAATTTAATTATACATTTAAAACTAGTAATTTAACAGCTTTGAAATTCACAAATCACACAATTCGAAGCATGTAATGGATATTTAAGAGTTGTGCATTCACCACCACAATTTTAGAACATTCTCATTACCCCAAAAGGAAACCCCACACACCCACTACCATCAATCTTTACTACCCGTATCCCTACCAATTCCAGGCAACCACTATCTACTTTGTCTCTATATGCCTATTCTGGGTATTTCAAATAGAATCACACAGTACTTAGTCCTGTGTAACTAGACTCTTTCACTTGGCATGAAGTGAAGTTCAAGGTTCACCCATGCTGTCCCATTTACCAGTATCTAAACCCTTTGTATAAACTATGTTTAATTATCTAATTATGAGTTGATAGACATTTGGGTTCCTTCTACTTTTTGCCTATTATGACTAATGCTATTATAAGCCATAGACAAGTTACTGTTTGGACATGTTTCCATTTTATAGGGTAATACCTAGGAATGGAATTGCTGAATCACATAACTCTACATTTGACTGTTCAAGGAACGATCAGACTGTTTTTCCACAGCAGCTTCACCATTTTACATTTTTACCAGCATTTTGAGGGTTCCTGTTTCTCCACATCCTACCAACACTTACTGTTATCTCTTTAGCCATCCTAGTAGATATGAAGTGGTATCTCTTTGTGGTTTTGATTTGCATTTCTCTATGGCAAATATTGTTGAGCATACTTCATGTGCCTATTGGCCATCTGCATATCTTTAATGAGATACCACTACATACATCATAGAATGACTAAAACACATTTTTTTAAACTGATAGTACCAATTGAAGTGTTGCCAAGGATGCAGTGCAACTGGAACTCTCATATGTTGCTGTTAAGACTATAAATCAATACAGGACTCTGGAAAAATAGTTTGGCAATTCTTATAAAGAGAGAGTTACCATATGGCCCAGCAATCCCATTTCTGGCTATCTGTTCAAGAGAAATAGAAAACTGAAGTCCACACAAAAACCCATGCATCAGTGTTTACAGCAGCTTTATTCATAACCATGATTCCCCTAAAACAACAATCCAAAAACACTTCAACTGGTAAATGGACAAACTATGGCATTCATACAACAGAATACTCCTTAGCAATAAAAAGTTTGGTATGGATATACACAAGAACATGCATGAATGTCAAATGCATTGTGGCAAGTGAAAGAAGACAGATTCAAAAGGCTACACACTTTATGACTACATTTTTATGATATATTGGAAAAGACAAAACCATAAGAAGGGAAAACAGATGAGTTGTCACTAGTTAGGACTGTAGGGAAGGGCTGACTAAAAAGGGATGGCAGAAAGAACATAATGGAGTTATGAACCTTGACTACAGTAGTGGTTATACGATTATGCATTTGTAAAATCTTACCGAACTGTTAAAGAAAAATACTTTGTTATATTTAAATTTAAAAATAAATACAACAGGAGCCAAGATGGTGGCATGAGTAGGGCAGCAGAAATCTCCCAAAACCATATATATTTTTTTAAATACACCAAATACAACCATTCTTAAAAGAGAGACCAGAAGACACAGTACAACACCCAGGCTACACCTGCAAGAACTCAATGCCTCACGAAGGGGGTAAGATACAAGCCGTGACCCGGCAGAACCTGAGCACACCCCCCACCCCCATCCCAGCTCCCCTGCGGGAAGAGAGGAGTCGGAGCAGGAAGGGAGTGGAAGCCCAGGACTGCTAAACACCCAGCCCTAGTCATCCATACTGGGAGCACAGACACACGTTGCGTGGTATGCTGGATATTAGGGAAACAGAACAGTAAAGCTGCAAGCAGGTCTCTGCAGCCGGCTCCCCTGGGACAAAATAAAAGCGAGTGAATTTTGAAAATCTTAAGGGGACAAGGGCCTCACAGCTGGATGGAAGCATCCCGGCACACCAAGCCCAGCAGTTGGGAATCCAGGGGAAATTCAGGCACTCCAGCCCCCAGGGAGGCAGCGCAGATGTGAAGCCCCTCATGGTGACAAACAGGCTCCCGCCCATTCCCCATCCGGGCAGTTCTGCCATAGCAGGTGAGCAGCCTGAGAGCAGCTGTGCCCACAGCAACTGCCCAGAGAATCCTCTGCAGCCACCTGGGCCAGACTCAGAGGCCCGCCCCTCCGCGGCATGCACAAACAGAGGAAGCCGAGACAAGGCACTAAAGGTTGCAGTTCACGCAGCAGAGTGTACCCAGCGTGCCTGCAACTCCCCACAGGGCTCTGGGCTCCCTCGACGGCTGCCCCACATGTGGCGGCTCAGGAAATAAAACCGGAAGCTGCTACCTGTGGGTGGCTTAACAGCAGAGGCAGTGAGGAGGGCAAGGCGACCAGCCAGCATGAAGGGACTTTGTTCTTGCAGCCAACACATGTGCAAACTACCCACAACTACCTCTACAGCCGTAAAAAGGCAGAAGAATCTGATCCAGTCCAGAATCACCAAGACAACCCCTGAGAAGGAGGTTGGGGAGATAGATTTAACCAATCTTCCTGAAAAAGAATTCAAAATAAAGGTCATAACCATGCTGTTGGACCTTCAAAGAAATATGCAAAAGCTA